TTTCAACTGACTTTGAAAATGCCCTCCAAATAAAAAAAAACTGATAATGCTATTCTCTTTCCCCTTCGAAATCATGGAACACGTGTTTTAGCTTTTTATAATATCTTTCATAGTTTTCGAGATTTTTTACGTTTGAAATTTAACCCTGTATATATATTTATAAGGATGATAGCTTCCTAAATATTTTATAGATGTACATCACATGTGTGTTTGCGCGTCTATGACTAACAGGAAGGTATTTCTGTAACCAGTAGCGAGGAAAATAAAAAATACAGAAGCATTTTCTTTATTTTACGGGAGCTTTATATATTTGTATATTTCCCGAGAAACACGATAAGTAATGTTAATAAAGGACACTGATAGTAAAACAGGTACGAAAGGAAAAAGAATATAGTCGTGAAAGCATGATTCATAGAAGTAAATACCTATGAAAGAATATTTGACTACGTAGATTACAAAAGATATTTAGATAAGCCTTGAATTTATGAGAGAAAATCTCCCAGTTTATCTGGTGCGTGAGAACAGGCTGTACGTGATACGCTATACGACAAAATCCGCGCCAAATTTGCTTCGTTATATTACGTTTTTTGCCGTTTTTGTTATTTGTACACAGGGAGAACTCCGCAAGCAATCACTATAGTGGCTATTCTGAAAGGCTAAGCTAATGTTGTCTTTATATTATTTACATAACGCCATTTTTTATAAAATTATGATAATTTTTCTTTAACGATCATGTTGGAGCATCAACAGTTTAAATTTCCGAAGTACAAGCAATTGGAGAAAACAAAGCTTTTTATGAACTAAACTTCAGATTGCCAAGTATGTAATAAACTTATTTCCTTTAATCAATTTCAAATGGATTTTAATAAAAAAATGTTAATTTGAAACTTAAGTACCAAAATATTTTTGTCAAAAGAAAATTGTTAAATTCTAATAGTGCTAAATAATGGATGTATATTAATTTATATACTGCAAAGTTTTTCTGATTTTCTTAAAATTTCGTCATAGTTTTTACCTTTATCTACGAATGGCAGATCCCATATTCATAGAATGTCTCACGTTTCTTCCAGCATCAGTGAACCCTTGCTTCGTTATGGTTATTGTCCAAACACATTGGGACATGTCTTTCTCTAATAAAAAGTCCAGGTCAGAAACACGTTGAAACAGGTTGAAACACGTTTTTTTCTAGAGAAAAGGTCTATGTTGGGACAATCTATATGTTGGAACAAAGATTCCCAGAATTTTTCCGAAGAAAAAAAAGCCTTTCATAAAGCATGACGGCAAGAGGAAAGTCTATAATTTGTCAAATTTTGTCAGATTCTTTTGTGATTTTAACATTCGATGCTCAATCTTTTCTTAAGAATGAAGCATGATGGAAAGAGCTTGACAGCAACATTTCCCAAACTTTATTGAATTCTTTAGTGACTTTGAAATGCTCAAGTTTCAAGTTTTCTTAAGAATTTCAAGAAATTTTTCTAAATCCTTTGTCATTTTTACAACATAAATGTAAAAGTACTTTTATCATATTTCTAAGAAAGTAAATGTTAATTTCTACGGAGCGTCATGTTCCTTCGAAAGTTTCGATAAATATGAACTTTTTTCTTAAAAAGTAAATGTGAATTGTTTTGTAGAATAACAAATTCCGATTAATATTCAAAAATTAAACATTAATTAATTAAACGTTATTGTTATTTATATTAATATATATTGGATATATATTGGACGTATTTATATTAATATATGTTGGAGGGGGATTATTAAAAAAGCGATTTTCAGCGGAACCAAGCGGAGGACGGTATTAGTTATCGAAATTCAATAAAATGAAATTTTTATTATAATTCTTAGACTTTTTTTTCAAAACATCAAAAACTAATGTTACAATAATACGAATTTAACGCATGCCGTATTAATTTGTCACTCATCTCCCAAGTTAGAAATCTTAATCTTTACATTTTTAGAGAATGACTGTTACGTTGTCGGCAATTGCTTTTATTTCTTTTTGGCTGTTCATAAGCAGCTCTCAACATAATGATTATATATAGGTATGCATTTAAATTTCGTTAAGAATAATCATAAATTAATTAACTTTCTCATTAATATATATATCCTTTTTTGTTGAGAAGTCATTTATAGATGTTACACAAATGACCGTAATAAGTAATATTTAATTGAATCGTCAGCGTATATTTTTGATGCGTCCTGAGATGATACCATGAGATACAAAAAACGCGAAGATAAAAAAAGATATAAAATCTAAATTATTGTTAAAATATTTCGTCTTACTAAAATACTAAAATATCGATTCTAGCATATACTAAAAATGGAGATTTTGTCTCCAAGAATTAACAAAGATTTCTACGCAGTTTGAATTTAAGGTAACGTAAAAAGATTTTTGCTAATTTTTGCTAAAAAGATTTTTGTATTACAAAATTTGCGTTTGTAATATATAGTAAATTTATCAATCTAATAAAATAAAATATTTTCAATATCCAAATGTAACACACACAATAATATAGTTTATAGACAGGAAGGAATTACAGAATGGAATATGTTATCTAAAAAAAGAAAAGAGGAGCATCAGAGAAATTCAGTCTTTATTTTATCTCGACAAATAATGCTATCCTTCGCTCAGTTCTTTTTACAAAAGTAAAATTTATTTCTAACTATCTTATCTACAATATATACACACACACACACACATATATATATATATACATATATTACAAAAGAAATCAGTGTTACAAAAGAATCAGGGAAGGATGTAATCTTATATAAATATCTATTCAAATTTCTAACTTTTCATTTGACGATAAGGTTACCTCCAGAAAAGATTCAAACAATTCCGGCTTATCGCCGTGGCGGCTTATCGCCGTGGATTGTTATCTTGTCCTACATCAATGAAAAGATCGTTATGATACAGATAAGCCGCCAAGTTCTCTATGGTACTGTAGCTTATCAATTGTACCCAAGATCTCACATTAGATAGAAGAAATGAGTAACGCTGGCCCGCATCCATTAGTGCACATCATATCTCCATCTTTTTTCTTTGACTCTCGTATTTCGTGATGTCACGTGACCGGAGTCACCGTAGGGATGGTCGAGACTAGTCAGCCAATATATAAAAGGATCCCGCGCAGGTATGCATGGTCCGCTCTCTGACTGGTAGAGCACTACCACCGTCCATGCCACCACCGCTGTTGAAACAGAGTGTCTATTTAAGTAGAGTTTCCTCAACGTTTCATCACTGTGATCTTCAGTCTCGAGTTGTCCAGTCGCAGCAGCTAGTTGAGAGTGCATTGGAGTGTCGCATTTCGTCGCCATCTTGCGCCTACACATAACTGCAGCATTGTGGATATCAGCAGACATTCATAGGAGATATATTACCAAAAACGCTCCAGTGATCAAACTGTTAGTTAATGAGAAATTACTTTATTCGATGAATCTCGCGTGTGTGCGTGTGCGTGCCGTGTGTAATAAATTGATCACGCCTGTTGCAATCCCGCGCGTCGCTTGATTCGCGTAGTCCACGTGGCCATGGCCGTGGGGCACTTGCTGCAAACACGCGACCACTCGTCGCGCGGCGTTCAGCGATTGCCGATAAAACCGAGATCCGCGACTTCCAGACGGAATTAATCGTACTTGTACTTGAGCGTAACATCGCCTTGTCGCGCTGTTCTATCGGTTTTATGTGACACGCGGTACGTAAGGCAAAGGTCAATTATTACGCATCGCCATGTTAGCTTAAGGATAACGGAACTAGCTACAACGTTAAGTATAAGGGCCTGTACGTTCCAACGGAATGCTATATGAAACGCGCGATGACATCGTCGCGCGCTATCGAATCTATTAAATAATAACGTTATTTATCGCATGTACCCGATGTAATTTCCGTGAATGCGTCGCAGATCGAAAGACTATACAGTGCAATAATTATGGATTTTACGTGTATACCCGTCCCATGATGCATCGCGCCACAGCGACGCAATAGTGACGACCGGAACGCGGAATCGAACCGCTGTTTCTCCGCTGCGTGCGGATCGACGACTTTGCATGTTTGGATTGCACGATGATGAGTCGTTTACCGTTGCGCTGAAAAACTTTGTCCCGCGAGAAAATTCGTTCTTTCTCTCTTTCTCTCCCTCACCTTCTCCTCCTCTCAGTCTTCCTCCCCGAATCTATTACGTGCGTTAGGATCACGGGATCATTTTTCCTCGCTGCTGAAGCAGTGTATCATGGGTAAATGACGGAATGATGAAAGCGAACCGTTAATTTCGACTGAATACCGTGTATACATACATCAGAAATAAAGATATATATATATATATATATGAGATATATATGTGTGAGAAGGTCGTTGCGCTTACAATTCTAACATACTCGTACTTTGATCATCGTAGATTGGACCCAGCCAATTACTCGCCAAGCCGTCGCAGCACACGGTACGCAAAGGTTTGGCGGATCTAGTCGACAGACCCCAGAGGCACCGTTAGTTGGTTTTAGAAGCTCGAGCAACGTCCACGCGCGCGCGCGCGCGCGCACGCGCCGGACGGTAGTTTAGACTCTGCAGCACGGGCTGCAATCGCGTGGAACTCACGAAGATATAACACGTGTAAAAATCCGCAAGTCGGGCTCCAAGACGGGATTCTGTCAGGATCAAGGATCGTTAAACAGAGTCCATATCGACGGTAGATCTACCAGCTAACGGACTGAAGCGCCACGAGTCCGCCAGACGTCGCTGCGGCCGTTCGTAATTGGCGCGCGCTCATTCGGCTTCCGGCTTGGCGCTCGGCGTCAGTCGGCCGCGCTCGGCGGAGTGGACTGGACGGTGCAGTTGGTGTGCGCGCGGAACGGTGAAATCGGACCAGTCGGTACGTCGCGGAAGAGTGCGTAGCCATTGTTGGTGCTGCGATCGTTAGTTTCTCGATCCGAAGATCGTCATGGGCACGGAGAGGCTTGCTACGACCGCGTTCGGCTCCACAGTTATGTCGGCGAGCCGCGCCACGAGCCACTAATACGATATTCGTTGCGGTGAGTGCGGCGCGTGTACACGCACGCGATTCCGCGGGACTAGTTGGCCGGATTCGCGTCTCCTCCGCCGCCTCCGTTCGTCGTCGCGCGTATGTGAACCGAGCGCTCGCGCTCGCGCGAGTGAGAGTGAGTGCGTGATATACGGTGGGGCCACACTCGCGCCCGCGGCGGCGGCCATAACACCGACCGACCGACCGACCGACCAAACTAAGTGAGCGAGGGAGAAAGCGTAGTGCAAGTATCTGCGAGGCGAGGCGTAGTGGTAGTGTTTTTGGATTGAGAGAGTACCCCCTGGTTGGACGAGCGGACTGCTAACGCAGGTAAGTGATCAGGTCGTGCGTGCACGGCGTCGAACTCCTTTTTAGTTTAGCGGACACGGTGCACGATCGTGAATCGACTACATGAGGTGTGTGTGTGTGTGTTCGTGCGCGCGCGCGCGTGTGTGTGTGTACGTACGTACGTGCGTTGTATGTGTGTGTGTGTGTAAAGGCGCGCGTGGCGCGTTATAACCGCGGGCTGGTGCATAAGCGCGGCGCGCGACGGCGGGCCCTTGGGAGCTTTCTTTCCCGAGCGGCCATACCCGCCATGTTGAGACCTATGCCGAAACGAGGGTCCGGTGAGACAGCCCGGGTTTTTCCGCGCGCGCGCGGGGCCGGATTCGTCGGCCCGGCTGTATCTCGAGACGTTGTGAGTCCTCGACGGGCCTCTTTCGCCGCGACGCCAGTCGTTTCGCTATCTCGCTCTCGCTCCATCGTCCGCTCGCTCGACTGGTTGGCTGCCTGTCTGTCTGTCTGTCTGGCTGTCTGGCTGTCTGGATTCTTCGCGCGGCGGCTTGTTCATGTTTGTTGTGTGTCGGCTAGGTGCATCGGCTGGGCGCGGATCTGTTACCCTTCCCCGCACCATCCTCACCTATTCGTCCTCTTCGCCTCTCTCTTTACTCTCCGCTGCCGTTTCCATTGCCGCCACCACGGCCGTCGTCGCCGTCGCCGCTACCGCCGCCACCGCCACCGCCGCCGCCGCCGCCGCCGCCGATGCCGATGCCGCCACCACCGGTGTAGTAGTATAGTCGTCGTTGCCGCCGCCGTACTTATTTCTCTTTCGCGTCTTTCGCCCGCGTATCTCGCCTTTCTCCTTTCCTGCCCACCTCAGATGTTCTTTGCGACCACTGAGCACCTGTTCGATTCGAGCGCGAGATCTCTTATCTCTCTGCCCTTGATACCTAGCTCGCTGCGGGCGCGTAGCCTCTTCTTCATGGCGCGGATCATTCCGTGACAAGGTCCTTCCTGTTGCCGCGTCCGGCAACCTCGTCGTTCCACGGATAATGGAGAAAAATCTTAACGGTCGTCGTGCACGACGTGTAGTCTCTCTCTTTCTTTCTCTCTTTCTGTGTATCGTCAATTTTGCATCTTAATAGCCACCTCACTTTCTATACCTGTGTACCAGATACCTGTGCTACTTTTGACAAACTTTCCATTTTGGCTTACTCCGGTCACCTACCTGTGAGGTACACCGAACCACGTACCCAGATTCTCCGAACCTAAGTGGGTTTAAAAGAGAGAAAGAGGAGCTTTTGTGCTTAGAAGCGTAAAATTCCAATTCGTTCAGATTCAGGTTGAGGTTCGATCAGGTTCGACCAGGTTAGGTATGCCGTGTCAGATAAACCCATGCTCCACTCGTAAAACTGTAGTTGCATCTTCGCACAAGTTCAAAAGTTCGTCGTCACAGATCTCTTCTGTTGTTATTGTTGTTGTTATTGTTGTCGTTACTGTACGATTCTTGATCGTTTCATCACTCCTTTCTTACGTAGAATTAAGTAATAAGATATTAAACCAGTGTAAGTTACATTTTTTAGTTTATACGTGTCCACAGAGATATTCATTTAGTCAAAAACTGAGGAAATACTGTTGAGACAAACAATTTTTTTTAAAACCAATTTGCATTCAATAATGTTGGTAACAAACGTTATAAAGAATATTTGCATTTGAAAATTTAGATAAGAGGATAAATTCTTTTTTAAATATTTTACTTGATAATACAGTAATTTAATAGTAATTTAATACAATAATTTTATTTGAGTAATATGTACTAGACTTTACATGCATACAAATTGAATATACAAGTTGATACAATTTTTAATTTCTCTTAAATATGTATATAATAATGGAAGAAATTGTGTATTGATATCTTACCTGTAATTAGATATTAAATATAGAAATATGTTCAATATACATTCAGTATATAAATTCAGGTTGTATTAGCACATTCTGTAATCTCAAAACAGCCTTTATATATTAAAGACACATATTTTACATAGACTTTATATAGAATACAATTTACGTAAAGAGATAGTGCAAAAAATTTATATATAAAATTATAAAATATATGTAAAATTTATTTTATTTTATATAAAGATATATTCACTTCAATAAATATAAATTCAATTTTCTATAATATCAGTCACATTTATTAAAATATTTTACAAGAAAATGGTAAAGACATTAATATTTCAAGATAATTTTATTACATAGTGATGAATAGTTTTCGCTTTCCCAGCATGTATACTATTCAGTTTTGCATGGTACATTATAAATAATATGTGCATATATAAATTTTCTGAGTACATCTAGATGTACAAGTTGCTCTAAAGCAATGCTGTGTTGGGGCTGTTACAATACGGGGTCCTATTGTTATGTTATCCAGATGTTGCTAATGTTACGAGTCTTGACTGGAGGTACGGAGTGTCGCTGCAGTATACAAGGCTGACACTCGAAGTACTACCATTCGGTAGGCTTGAGTAGTGTTATGCCTCCTCGGCACCAATCTTCCTGGTTGCAGCGTGATTGCCTTGGCGAGCGATTAATGAGCTACCGCGCTCGATTCCGAATCTATACTCGGCATCTCAATTGTTGATGAAGCCTCATAGCGTCAAGCGTCAACGTAAGGCAGTTACCTGCTGCATAGCATTTATGTATCATATTTGTCGGAAAGGTAGGTGTGAAGCCACCGTCGAGGTATTGTTAAAGACCATCAGCTTTGGGCAAGCGTTTGTGATCCCAAGAAAGATCTAGAGAGGTCACAGAAGGTAATTGAAGAAGGATCATGTCGAGACTCTTTTCAATCATTCGATATAAGTATCTGGATATTTAGGATGTAAAAAGAATTTTACAATTTACGATTATTTTGATATTTTATTAATATATATATATATATATATATATTACTAAAAAAAAATATACACATACACATATACAGACCTACTATACATTACATACATTACATACACAGTACATTAGATATCTTGGTATATTTTTCTACATCCATCACCTGTTCTGATTTGACAGAATTTATAGATAGGATGTTATTAAACAGCAAAATTTTTAATTTCCTTTCACGCTGAATCCTCTCAAAACTGACGGTCTTTACTCTTACCTAGTCAGTGGTGAAGCTCATTATCCGAAACTGGATGAGCTCTATACTATCAAACGATTAATCGAGAAAAAGGAGCAAACGTTCTGATCACAAATCTTCTGATCGCAACTTTCCGATCAGCGACATTTGGTGGTACATTCGATTCGGAACATCAAGCCGGAATAAATTGCGTAAATTGCGATGTTAGGGAAACTTGGTCTTATAAAATATATTGGGTAAACTCAAAGAAAGGAAATCTTTCTGTGAAATAAATCTGGAAATATACTCTTTATGCGGTCTCTATGCGGTCAAACGAAACATTAATGCTTCTTGATTAAACATTAATGTTGTTTGATAAGTGGGACGACTAATTCTGATCCTCTAGCGCGCAGTCAATGTAATGCTTTCGAAAATGTACGTCGTATAATCCAACTAACATGATAATTTTCGCTCTACTGTAAAATCGTCTCCTCACGCTATTTCAGAAATAAATCTCATTGTATTATTTTCTTTCTGTTGCAGTCCTGAAGTCAGAATGCAGCAGGTGGACAACATCTCGCAGAACAATTCCGTGAGTAATACATAAACATTGTATTTCTTTATAACTCGTAATGATGCAGAATGCAGCCTGCTTATTAATTTACTAACACGATATTTCGAAGCTGCGTTAAGTTTTGTGATAATATACCTGTACTGTTCAGCGATGCCCATAGTTTCAGCGCATTTCATATTACGCAGCGCATCAGCATGTATTCACAGTGTAACGTGTTATATAAAACGTGGATCGTTTCTTCATTCATCTCGAAATGATCGAAAGGTGATTTATATATGGATCACGTGTTTGGTATTCCGTTATAAACGATCCCATGCAAATTGTTATACTGCCGTCTGACTGTGTAATACGATTTGTGTATCGTGCATCGAATTTTATTACCTTACCCACATTTGGATACCACATACTTCCTAATATTGTATTGTTATAAATTCTATTCCCCGTATAATATTCACTTTTCTGTTCCCCCCCCCTTTTTTTTTCTTTTTCCGTATTGAGAGAGCGTTGTTTGACTGAATAGTACGTATGAATTACAGTTAGATGTGGAGGAGCGAGAAAGGCTGTGTAATATACCGAAGGTGAGACACCTTGTTGACAATTGTTTCAACTAGGTTATATTGTTGAAATATGAATTGGCAAACTAATAATTCGTGCTATCATAAGTAATCCGTAATTTTCGCTTCACTCTACTAGCAGCATTAAATAATACAAATGCAACTTTGCGGACAAATCTTAGTGAACTTTTAATTAGTATAGAACCACGAAAAATACTGTTACAATTGTATTGGTAAAGCCATTGATGTTGTAGATACAAGATTCTTTTTGCTCGCTATGTCTAGTAATCATTTAGTATCATAAATATTCTCAATATCGACATCTATATACGGCTTATGCATTATTTTTATGCAATGTACAAACAGTGCGTAACATCTTTTTAATTGTTTACGGGATTATTTCTGCTCTAACGATATAAAAATGTGATTTGATGAATTTGCATGAACTATATATAAAATGACTTGAAGATGCCATTATATTTCATTTATAAGTTCTCATCTGATTTCTCTCGAGCCCTATTGTGATCTTTAGTGAAGGCTTCCTCACACGAAATTCCAAATTAGCTTGCCTGTGGTTGTGGAAATTAAATATTTAGCAGCCTAATTCGCTCGTTGCATGGATGGGGGTCATTAACTTACTACAGCGCCTGCACACAAATGTGTATATATGTACAAAAATACGTATCCTAGAGAAAGTACAATTTATATACTCGCACATATTTTAACGTTAATACACGTAAGGGTTCTCTTTAACAATAGCATCCGTATTTTATATCGTAGATCGTACTTTTTATTACTTGTATCACGTTTTACATACGTGGCCATTAACATTTTGCACAAATATGAGACGTATAAACAGTGATCTTCCTAGATGAAGAAGCAAGTTTCACGCATGCGTAATAATGCGAGCGTTAGCAGAACGTTCGCGCTTCAGCCGCGTACGCGTTCTACCGCGAGAAGTCGCTTATCGCTTCCGTTCGTCGCAAAATCAGACATCAGAAAGTGTCACAACAAATGACGTTAAAATTTCCATCTATTAAAATCGGGATGAATTAGGGACGAAGTTTTTCCCGTGTATGCGGACGACTCGTGTGTCAACATTTGTCGCAAATATAAAGAGCATGTTTCGCGTTTCGATTGCACCTCCTGCGATTTGACCTATAATCTTGCGAAGAATTGTCGGCAAATTATAAGCCGTGACTTATAATCCGTGAGCGGTAGGGTGGAAGATAAAAATTGCAAAGAGCAGCAGAGTGCTGCGGGCAGGTAAAAAAGAGCGGATAGGGCCCGATAACTTTTATATCACGTTGCATCTAAGCACGAGTCTGCCGACGCGGTCACATGATTGGTCGCGCAGGTTTCTGGATGCGCACACAAGTATCGCGTGGTGGGGCTTGTTCATCCGTCTGGGAAAGCTACACACAAATACGTCGCCGCGATTGATAACCTAAAATGCATGGTACATGATACATGATCCGTAGTATCGGATGCTTCCTAACGTTATGTTTCTTTACGTGTAGATATTAAAGTGAATGCAAAATATATTTTGATCCTTTTCGTGTAAAACGTACGAAATATAATGCAGACGAGCGCACCTGGTAAGGCCTCGACTACACCAGCGAGTCCTCCGAAGGAACCGCCTCCGCGCGATGAACCACGCTTGGAACCTGTGAACGGCATTGTTCAACCGCCGGTATTTCCACCGCCGAATCGTCCAGGACGTATCACGAATCAACTGCAATTTTTACTGAAAGGTGTTTTGAAGCCAGTATGGAAGCATCAATTTGCCTGGCCCTTCCAACAACCTGTAGACGCCAAGAAGCTCAATTTGCCAGTACGTTACAATTCATAAATATTGCAATTGATATCATGGACATAATTATTTGTAAAGTACTCAGGTAAAACACTATTCATCACTGCTCAGAGTTAGCAAACAAGCTTACATTATTGCTACGGATATATTTATTAAAAATATTTCTCTTTTCATTCAAAAGGACTATCACAAAATTATCGAAAGACCTATGGACTTGGGCACAATCAAAAAGAGATTGGAGAATACCTATTATTGGAGTGGGAAGGAGTGTATCCAAGATTTCAATACTATGTTCACCAACTGCTATGTCTACAACAAACCTGGAGAGGATGTTGTAGTCATGGCACAAGCTCTCGAAAAATTATTTCTTACAAAGGTACACTTTCCGTCTTACATCATCAGTATTTCTATATCTAATATATTTGTGTTGTGTGACGCAGTAAGCAGTTAATGGATAAAGTTTCCATAAACTAATATATAATTTAAGATTTATAATGGGAGATTGCTACTTAATGAATGCTAAAATAACAATTTCTATACAATAATAATCATTTAGGTTGCACAAATGCCAAAAGAAGAGGTGGAGTTGGATCCACCATTGCCGAAAGGACCCAAGGGTAAAAAAGCTGGAAGAGTCAGTGTTTCAGCAGGTGGAGTTGCAGGAGGTACAGGTCGAGGACGACCTGCTTCAGGTGCAGCTGCCGTTACTTCTAGCGTACCTAACAGTCTAGCGCCTTCCGCTACGGCGGCTAGAACAACGGGTGTCATACCTATGCCACCTCTTGGCACCCAAGCACCAGTGTCTGTACCTGGAAGTACAAACACAACCACCATCGCTCCACCAGCAAGCATGGGCGTCGCGCCAATGGCTACTCACAATTCTCTGCCTCAACAAGTCGTCCCTCCGACCACAGGTTACCATGCACAGCCAGCAATGGATCCGCAAGCAGCTTCAGCTGTACTCCCACCTCCTCAAGTTCCCACGGCACCTGCTGTCATGCCTCCGTCGCAACCTGCCAAACTTAAAAAGGGAGTGAAAAGAAAGGCTGATACCACGACACCTACAGCAAATTCATTTGAACCTATGTATGCACCCATGGATTCTAAGAACGCCAAAATACCTACAAGAAGGGAGTCTGGCAGGCAAATTAAGAAGGTAATTATATCTTCCTTGTCTTGTATACCTTCGATGTTATATCTTGTACTTCAACTAGAAACAGGAAAAGTATACCTACATGTTTATGAAACATACGACAATTTATCGACAATTTATAAGGATAGAATATCATTTTACATAATGTCTCTCTCGTATTTAGAAATTACTTGATTTCAAAATCCACATGTAAATCTTATTAATGTATCAACATATTCACAATCTGTATTATTCGGCTTCTTGTGTTTGTCCATAAAGCAAGTTATCATATATTCTCAAGTTATAATACATTATAATCGTAAGCATTCGTCATCATAGCATTCGTAAATATCCTTAATCCTTGCATATAGTCATATCGTTACATATAGTCATATCGTTTCATCAATGCATTAATGCATTAATCAACGTTTCGTAACATGGCTGTTTCAGCCAACAAGGCAAGCAGAAGATGGTTTAGTGCCATTCCATCAGACCAATATGCCTCTGATGGGGGCAATGGCACAGCAGGTACATTTATTACTACACGTTCATATTCCTCCCTCTCATTTGTGTTGTCTTATCATTTTTATCCTACTGATGTTATTTTTACAGTATATGTTGAAATAGTTTCGTATACATATGACTAGTCATATATTATAAAACATTATGAGATGAGTATAAAGTCTTTTATATTTATTTTTTTATATGACAATGTTTAAGAAAATATAAACTAGAAGGTTAATTTTTAAAGTCAATTTTTTCAATTGTAATGAAATTTCTTTTTTCTCCTTCAATGTAAAATCTTTAACTCCTTGATTGCTGGATACCATTATAATGGATATAGAAAAAATATTTTTAACAAGGAAGCTCTTGAAATTAAAAAGTTGTTCAATTTCTTTTTTTAAATTTAATTCTTTTATTAATTTAATTCTTTAATTTAAAAATTTGAAAATTCTTTAATTTCCGAGTTACCTTCTTCAATAAGTAAAGCGAGGTGACCGATAAACGAAACTCATTCCATTTCTAATTTCTATATATTTATTAAATTTTTTCAGTATTTAAAGTTATGCATATTATCTTTGATCTATATAAGGGCATTTTTCTGGATAAAAATGTATAACTACATTTCATGATTGATGATTGACATAAATAATTAAATTTACATAAAATCTTCGCAATCAAAAAGTCGAAATAAAAAACTAACATGAATCTTTCTTACATAGCATAATGTAACATTTTTATAAATTACTTTTCAGCCTCAACATGCTGGTGGAAAATCAAAGGAAAAATTGTCAGAACCACTAAAATGCTGTAATGACATCTTGAAAGAACTTTTCTCCAAAAAGCATTCGGTAATTGAAATATATTTTGTTTTTCAAAAAAATGTCACATTAATAATAATGTCACATAAATCATCAAGGGAATTTAAATCATGATTTTGTGTTATAGGGTCCGAAAGTATGAAGAAATACTCAATCATTTTTGATTTTTAATTGCTGGCGTGTTGTTTGCGAATTGTTTCTGATTTCTTTTTTTCTAGATATTCTAGTCTATTTTAGGAAAAAAGATAATCTAACTTTTGCCTAGAATATTTACACGTTGTGTAGAATAATAAATTGTTTGGAAACAGATTCTCAAAGGATGCGGTAGTAATCCGAAAGTTACAAATATGATTTTGATGACATATCTTTGTCGTTAGGGTTACGCCTGGCCGTTCTATAAGCCGGTTGATGCAGAACTTCTAGGCCTGCATGACTATCATGAGATTATCAAAAAACCTATGGATCTTGGTACTGTAAAGGTTCGCATTTTTGACTATGCTACTATACTGATATATTGCTATCAAACTTTTCAAAACCCCAAATCCTTTAAAAAGTGTATACTGGAAACCAGACACCAAATATTTGTTGAACTATTTTATATTTTATACTTATTCCTAGAATAAAAGAACACTAAGAAAGTGTTACGGATATGCTTGGACATACAATTAAGATACACAATTTCGTTCTTTTTGCAGTCTAAAATGGACAACCGTGAATACAAAACTGCACAAGAATTTGCAAGTGACGTCCGGCTTATATTCACCAATTGTTACAAATATAATCCACCAGATCATGATGTCGTCTCGATGGCTAGGAAACTTCAAGATATATTTGAGATGAGGTTCGAAAATGAATGATTTCCTCGGCCAATTTAGACAACATTTCCAAATCTTCGAAAATATTGTCTAAATCCATTATAAAGTTATGTATTAACTTTATGTATAATGATTAGATATGCGAAAATTCCGGACGAACCAATGGGTGGCATGGTACCTATGAAAGGTACTAGTAGTAGTGCCAGTAGTTCCGGTGAAGAAGATTCGTCCGATAGCGACGATTCTGGCGAGGAACAACGCACTCAAAAGTTGCTCGCTTTACAGCAAGAGGTATGTTTTGTCCAATAGAGAGATGTAATTACATGGTCTTCGCGGAAAGTAACCTAATTTTGTCTCTACATCTTGTAAGCGAATAGTTAATAATTAATTATTAAATATTATTTGATATTAATAGCTAAAAGCCATGCAAGAACAAATGAGGAAATTGGTGGAAGAGAGTGGTAAAAAGAAAAGTAAAAAGAAGAAACCTGATAAGACCAAATCAAAGCCCATGAGCAATAAGAGTAGTAGCCTTGTTGCCAGTCATACTGGTGCCATGAAAGAACTGATGAAACCAAGCGGCGGTATTCCCAATGTCACAGATAGTGTTGGTGCTAGTATAGCTAGCGTCGCGATGGGAGCAGGCGATTTGAAGATGCCTGGTGGTATGGGTAGTGATCTTCATCATTCGGCTATAGCAGTAGGTCCTAACAAGACCCATGCGGCCGGAAATTTGGGTCATCACTTACCACCAGCAGCGACGAACGCCAAGCCGAAAGGGAAAGGCCGAGGACCTGGAAAAGCTGCGGCTGCTGCGAATACAGCGACTAAAAGGCCGAAGGCTAACAGTAGATCTGCCGGAAATAAGAAGAAGAATGCGGGTAATCAACCGCCCCCGATGACGTTCGATTCGGAAGACGAGGATAACGCTAAACCCATGTCTTACGATGAGAAGCGACAGCTCAGTTTGGATATCAATAAACTACCTGGTAAGATACGTTTTATTGCCGTTGTATTAGATAATAAGCCAATATTGGATAAACATGACAGATTAAACAATAAAGAGTTTGTATGGCAGAACTATAAAGTTTTTAAAAGATATAGCAATTTTTTACTAATTGTTTTGTTTTTTTTTTCTTTTTTCTTTTTTCCTTTTTCCTTTTATAGGTGACAAATTAGGTCGTGTCGTACACATAATACAGTCTCGAGAGCCTTCGTTGAGGGATTCGAATCCGGATGAGATTGAAATCGACTTCGAGACGCTAAAACCATCGACACTTCGTGAACTGGAGAGCTACGTTGCATCATGCCTGAGAAAAAAGCCACGTAAGTCTTACTATAAGCTTGATTTCAATTTGAGCTTCTAAATACTTTAGTAGTCGCTTCTCCAAAAACTGCGTTTTATAGAACAAAGATCTATTCGTAGTGTTGTATTCAGAGTATTATAGATATATAATATTTTAAATATGCTAGTAAGTTTAACTGAAGGAATGATGCTTGCACACAACAGTAATAATGCGGCAACAAGGGTCATAAAGCAAGTTGCAACGATGTGCTTCTATATATTTAAATGTTGTATATGATATGTTCATATAGACAAAAAAGTCAGCGGTAAGTCTAAGGACGAGCAGATGGCAGAAAAGAAACAAGAACTGGAAAAAAGGTTACAAGATGTGACTGGGCAATTGGGCAACGTCAAGAAGACTGCCAAGAAAGGTTAATGTTTGCATCCTCTATTCTTGTAACATTTTGTACATTTTCTTGCGGATCTGTCAAGACACAATGTGTTTTTCTGCGTACGTACGCAGAATGGGAAATCTGGTAAAACTTACTCGAATGAAGACACAATATTAAAATCGTTTGTACGTGTATATTTACAGAGGACAGCAATAAATCTGTCGATGTGGTCGGAACTGGTGGTGCTACTGGACCTTCGCGGCTTTCAGCGTCGAGCAGTACTAGCAGTGACAGTGATTCGAGCAGTAGTTCTCTTTCCACAAGCTCCAGTGACTCAAGTGACAGCGAAGCAGGTTAGATATGAATACAACAAATATGTTGGTACTGTTAAACATTTACTTGGGAACAAAGAACTACTGTGACCCAATCGTCTTCAAAAGGGAAAAGGGAATACGAACGGTTTCTTCAGTGAGACTCAAAATTACGGGGTTACTTTCGGGGAACATCGCGTGCGAGTTCTTCGTGATGAACTTATCATCGCTTTACGAATGTCACACAGAGCACAGATTTCCATATTCACGTTTCCGCCCGAAAATTTTAAGAGACGATATTTGGTGTAAATATACGAAACATGAATTACTTAGTGATTTATGTTGATGCATTGTTAAGTTCAGCAAAGCTACCATCTGTAGGGACGACGATTTTTCTACGTTTGTAGAAAGTCTGATTTATTGCATATTTTTCACCTTTTCCATCGGTGCTGGTTGATGTTATCGGTGTCATTATCGAAATTTAGTACAATGAATTCCTTGTTAACAAAAAAATGGGGCGGAAACGTAGATGTGAAGTTCATAGCCATTTAAAAGTGACTCACCATTTCATGCGGCATTGTGTGTACTGAATTTTCTATTTACATACATATACATATATTAACTGTAAAATAACAATATGATATTTTCGTTTGGCAATCTAATTTTACAGTTATATAAAGTGAGTGTCACGATGTTTGTTACATGCAATCGTTACACAATTATACGATGCAGCTGTCTAAAGTCTACGTCAAACGCTTTTTGTTGTACGAATATAAGTTTAGATTTATAGCGTCAGTACATTCGATGTCAATAACCAATATCAAGCTGCTGGTATTCGGTAAGATGTTGGAGAAATTTTTTTTTTGTATTTTTGAGAGAAACATAATATAATATGTTATTTAAATCTGTTGAAGCTCAAAAATTATATATTTCACATACTTCTTTTTTAATTTGTTTAATATACGTGATCCTCTTTAAATCTACGCTACGCACATATACATACGTGTGTTTCATTCTCGTAGGTGTGTAGCTATTCGAAAAATAATGCCTCATGATTTGGTGATAGATTTAAGAACTTCCAAGAATATTTATATGAACTCTGTGCCTAACCAATTTCGTATTGGCAAATGAAACAATCGAAAACACCGATGCATTGTTAATAACGCAACATACTACGCAGGAAAGAAAGAAAGAAGGAAGGAAGGAAGGAAAGAAAGAAAGAAAGAAAGAAAGAAAGAAAGAAGGAAGGAAGGAAGGAAGGAAGTTACAAACTAGATATAAACGCGATTTCTTCTTCTTCTTTTTTTTTCTTCTCTTTTTCTTCCAAATGGGGATTGCGGATGTCTCGACATGTCGCAGATATCTTCTTAAGCTGCTAAAACGTTGCTTATTAATTAAGTATTTATTAGGACGGCGTTATTCATGTAACTTAAGTGCTGCGTTATATTAACTACGCAAGTACGAGCGTGCTGTCAAGTTTCGTCACGAAATGAGAGCGAACGACGAGATTGAATTTGCCATATGTTATTTAACGTAATTTCGTATACTTTCTTATAAACGATATCATCGCGGTTATGCTAGAAGCTATGTACAGGAATTGTGAGAAACTTGACACACGAGAAGAGAGTTTTCAAATATAGTTTTTGTTTAATTTACGAGACAATATGCAATGGTAAGAACAAAGGTGAGCTAGTGGAGTGCAGACTGTGTTTAGAGGATACCATATGCCATGCCAGCTTGTTTCACGAGTTGTATTATTGATTATTGAACAACTGATTATTTTCTCTTGCCCGATCGGTGTTGATGATACATTCTGTTGCTCGGAAGTCGAAAGGTATAGTTTGTTACTCAAGGCTACTGAATTTTTCACTGCAGTCCCGTCTTCGGGTTCGGTAAGAGAGGCCCTTTTGCGAGTTTTGAGATTATCCTTAAAGTCAGCGGATGCGTCCGGTAAATGGCTGAGAACTTCAATACACACACATCGATGCGGAGCTGTTACATTGTTGTGATACGTAACGACGTTGCCGTGACTGTAGTGTCAAATATTAGTACCTTGGTTGTAAGTTACATACCGTAGCTTCCCCCGATAATTGCCCCCACGTAACCCGAAGTACGAATACATCATGCAATATATTAACTCTTGCAAATTATGATATATTTATTTACATTAATCGATAAGCAGAGCATTATTACTTGTATCACTGTGTTTCTAAATCATTAAGTTTGCTACCTCGCATCGATTCATAATTCATGTCGTATCATTTCTCAGAATTTAGTAGAGAGTGAGACATATATTAACAGGCGTCACGCTAAACCATAAGAAAGTGTTATAATATATTTATCTGGTTGACGCGAGAGACTGCGCTTAATGCCTCCTCGACGTTCATTTCCACGCACACATACATTCTGAGATTATGTGGACCTACAAAAGATGCCCGTTAGTGTAAATAAAACGAATTTGAATGCACGGATAAGAAATGATGCAGACAATGTGTATTGGTGGCTGGATTTTGCGAGTCAGCGCATTCTATGGCTAGCACAGTTTGTAGCGTAACGCGTTGTTGAGTTGCTTTGTACAAAGTAAGTCACGCTCTTCGCGAGCTTCTCATCTCCGCAAAACAGCTGTGAGATTCTTCTCAGCAATCGAGGATACTCAATCCTAGTGTTACAATACCTCAGGTTACTGTTTCCACTCCGGACTTAACTTATCGTAGCTAAAGACATGTGCTTCCTTTACGACAGTCAATTATCAAAAACGTCTCGTCTCGCAACGTCTCGTCACGTGGTCGTGAGACGGGTGAGTACGAATACGAATCTTCCTTATTGTCGACTTATTCCGAGAGTGCATAGACCCCGAGTAAAGTAATTAGTGACGAACTCTGCAGAGTTAAAAAGGATGTGCGGAGTCACAAAGTTACATGTGAATTCGAAACTGTGTGACAGACTTCATTTGTTTTCTTTTCTTTTTTTTTCTCTTCTTTTTTTGTTTTCTTTTTACAAAATTAATGACTTTGAGCACATATGTACAAGGTTTATATGTAAAGTGTAAAGGAGTAGAAGGTATAGAGAGAAGAAAAAGATGGACGGGAAAATGATTAGAAACGGAAAGAAGTCGAGATCGGTCGCAATGAAGAAAGTAAATGGGAAAAGAAAGAGTAGGAGGAGAAGGTAGAGGAAGAGAAGGAGGAGGAAAAGGGATGAAAATAGGTGTAGGAAATGGTTTCTACAACGTATACGTTACATACATGTATACACAAGGCGCCCTAGCCTCCAAACACATTGTTTGCACTCCTCTAAGCTTTGCTATTCGTCGTTTCATTCTATTTACCGCTAAGTTCTTCATCGGTGATCATTGTCAGTTTTCTCATCGCTGAAATGATTAAAAAGGGGAAGTGTTGGTAACGTGTGTCTTCTTTCTATTGGAAAATTGATATCGTTATGCCAATGGTAATTATGAACTACGAAGATTGGTGTGGTTTTACATGCCTTACTGTACGAAATAGTAGCCGCTATTCCCGTTAAGCGTAAACTTCACTTCTCGTCGCAATATAACTTCATATATGTTGTAAATATCATGAATTCCCGAGTAATCGCGATATCGTCGTAATTTTCGAAGTAACGTTAGTTTTAACCCGTCCTACTAAAAAAAAAGAAAAAACATTTTTAGGAAATCTTTTATACGAATTTAATCAAGATTAATTTTAACGATATCTTGTTTTTATATTTTTTCTACATGTAAATGTCTGCTCCATAAATTCTTTTTTTTTTTTTTCTTTTTTTGTTGAGATATATCGTGTAAATTTAGTTTTTACATATACATATATATATAAATATATATATATATATAGCAAACTATATACATAAGATTTATTGTGAACATATAATACCGATAATAACATTCTAAGGTGCTTCAGAAAGCACTTAATAATTGAACATGAGCATTAAGGCTAATCGAATTTGCACTCGAGTACAATTAAATAGTATCATGAATCGTACACTCAGCAAACGTACTTACTGTCCTGACGGGAAAAAAAAAAACGAGGATTAAGAACGATGAAAAAGTAGGGCAATTAATATTATTATGATAATTCTATACAAACAAGCCACAATTGGTCAGAAAAAAAGTGTTCGTTGATATCTAAGAAAATTAATGATACGGAATTATATAAGCATTTAACGGTAGACACACGAGAGAGAGAGAGAGAGAGAGAGAGAGAGAGAGAGAGAGAGAGAGAGAGAGAGAGAGAGAGAGAGAGAGAGAGAGAGGAGAGAGAGAGAGAGGACAGTTGGACAGATTGTAATGTTATTTACCAGGTTTTACGTTTTCCCGAAATAACTGAAAGTGAATAGAGAAATTCGCGAATTAACTAGCTAGAGTATGGAAAGAACAAATTAACAGCGTGTACTGAAACTAGATAGATATGACGCATCTATTAAAATACAATCACCATTAGCTTGTAACGCGAGGTATAGGGCATTTTATAACGATATTCATATTGCCTTCCAAAATTTTTGTAGCATTTACTCTAATACATTGCAAGCACGCGTCTTAATCTCTTCACTTATCATTTCTTCTCCTTCCACTTTCTACTTCTATTTCGTCGTATCTTCTTGTCCAACCTGGAACGTCATTCTTCCTGCTAGAATCATAATGCGCGAGATCTGTATAACGAAGTGAAAATATTTTATTATGCTCAAAAGAGACTCCTTTAAACTAGCACTTTTATTTAACACCGTTGATTAATATCCTTCTTCTCTCCGGAGTTGCATGTACGTTCCATCTGTTTTCTGCGTATCGTGAGTTTTAAAATAGTTAAACGGTAAAATGACAGGAGCATACGCGTTTTGTACATATTAAAAGACTAATATATCATAAATATAAAAACATTAATGAAAATATAACTATAAGTTACATCTACAGAGGAAAAGCTACACACACGCGCGCGCGTGCGCGCGCGCATATGTGCGCGCAACTTTTTTAAGTGCATACACAAAGTTAAACAAGTGAAATAGACATTAATTCTATGTAAGAGCGTTCGGAGTCGCGGTTGGCTCATATATGGTGGTCCAGTTAACTATATTATATAAATTAAGATATGCTGGTATATATATAAAACTCCTTCTCGTTGTTTCGTTATTATTGTTTCGTTCGTTAAAAACAAATTATATTCTTTAGCGAACGCATATATTCTTTTGTCGGTCGCAAACTTTCTTTTCTTTTTGATTTTTATCCACTATTGGCAAATTTCAGCATCGTGATTTCTTAATTGTTATCACGGATCGTTTGAAAAAAGAAAGAAAGCACGTGATGCAGAAATGAGAAAGGGGAATTAGCCATGTCAATTTTTTACTGTCGTTCGTTTCTATATACATTATCAACGTCGCTGATTCTTAACATTTCAAAACATCGAGCAGGAGTCTCTTGCCACCGATCTCAGTGTTGCGCTAACTACGACTTGAATTTACATTAATCAGTTTGTAAGAGTGTGTCACTCTTGTATCATTCATCTTTAAGTTGAGCCCCACATATTGTACCATTTATGTCAGACCTTTGTTTACTCTTATATATTACATATATAAATACACATACATACATATATATGTATATACATATATGAAATTCATATACGTATATACATATATATATATATATATATAGATATATACACACATACACACACATACATATGCACATACACACTCACAAAGGTGAATACTGAGAGACGGCAGTTTGATGATTTTTGTAGTCAATATTTTATAATCGTCACTTCCGCCAACTACACGATTATTACTATTATTTTATTATTATTGTAATAAATCATGATTATATCGCTACCTTAGTGGAGCAAGCGTGAAAGAGAGAGAAAGGATAACAGAAAGAAAGAAAGCGAGTAAGAACGTGCTCCTGCATACATATATGTACGTAACTATATATATATATATATATATATATATATATATATGTATGTATGTACGACGACTAAACGACATTCTTGTGCATGTATGCATGTGTTGAGCGCGTGTGGTATGTATGTATTTATGATGTGTGTATATGTATATATATATATATATATATATATATATATATATATGCACACGCAATTATTCGTAAATAAATTGAGTACGACTAACTTTACGTAGGATGAAGAAATGAAGAAAATTGTTCTGCGCATTCAGATTTTTTAATATAAAAAGATCATTAAGATTATATGAAAGTCCACAAAAAAAAAGAAATGAGAGAAAAAGAGAGGAAGCTACAATTGAAATATTTAAATTAACATTGTTGTACACAGTGATACAATTATAATATAAGCATATAAATAAAATCTATTAGAAAATATACGCTCGAAGTTGTTTAATTTGCTATATGTTACGTTCACGTTGACATGTTCTGTTACTCCGCGTTTATCGATAAGCGACTCTTGATTGGATCAATGGCTGGCAATATCCTCTACGCTCTGCACTTCGCTAGATCTCCGTCGATTTTCGATTCTTTACATACTGTTGGCGCGTGCATTGTACACTTTGATTAATTGTATACATTGAATTTAAAGGGAACTCCTCCAATCGTTCACCTAGAAAGAAAGCGAAAAAGAATCCACCAAGTACGGGACAAACAACAACAACGGTTACTACAGTTTCATCAGTAAGTTATTCATTTTTCGCGTTATATCATAATGAAATTCGCACTGGTAATTATTTAAATTTTAATATTTTTACTATATATAACACAGGTATTTTGTACTTGATATGGATATAAATTATATTATGTGTATTGTATATTGCAAAGCAGTAATAGTTTTTGCTTGTGAATTAAATAAATGAGATGTTCTTTAGGCACCTACATTGAATCATACCGGAGCTCTCTTAATGAATAGTCAACCACCAACAAATGCTACGGGACCAATAATAAAGTCGACTGTAACTCAGCCGAGCAATATTCCTTCGGAACAAGGTAATTATAACGTCACGGTGTGTAGGGAATTCTCATATAGCCGAAATTATATTGAAGAGATATTGTCCATTTCAATATTCATATTTCAAAAATAATTTTCGACAAAATTAGCCGTATAAAGTTTACTTTTAAATGTTTTTTATTTCACTTATCGGACATTGCAAATTTTCTCAGACTGATCTGTTTTCTCGTTGTCTTTTCCTCGCTAATTAGCAGTCATTGGTTTTCCAAAGCGATAATCAGTACATCATTATTATCGTTCATTCGCAAATTTTACCACGGCTATGTGAAACAGTTTTCAGCCTCTGCAAATATATTTCTCATTAAAAACCTTTAACGATGTAACAAAGAAACAAAAGCGTGTTGTATGTTGTGCAACACATCATACCCTATACAACATGTAATGCAACAAATATTCTTTTAGGAGGTAATAATCAACCTATCGCAGTGGCTGCTGTTACAGTAGCACAAGGTATGCCGGTTGTGAGTCACGCGTCCATGCCGGCGCAACCATCGCGACCCACGGCTATGGCTACTGCTGCTCCTGTAAAAAAACCGACGCCGCCACCGCCAGCGACGTCCAATCCGCCGACACCGTCGGTTTCCGTGCCGACACCACCACATAGCGTCACACCGACGAATACGAATTCCATGACAGCCTCGCCAGCTGTCTCGCAGCAGCCACCGCAGCAACCACCAACGTCCATTAGTTCCTTTTCAAGTGCGAATACGCCCGTGTCCATAGACGGGACGAACTTGAGTCAACAGTCCGACCTCATGCAACCGTACAATACTCTGGGTATATCCACATGTAATTTCTATTATTATCATTATTATTATTGCATAATTTTGGTTATTGGCATATTTCTTAGAACAATCCTGCATGAGATGATTTTTCGTCTCTGGATATGAGAGGGAAGCATGTTGTGTGCGTCGATAACTAATTAATTTTTTCTACATATAGCTGCGGTACCCACTACGCAGCCATCTTTGGATCCGTCGCTCGCGGTCAAGAAGGAGCCGCCGTTCGTTCAGGCTTCCCACGCGACCAATAATACCAACAATAACAACACCAATTTGAATTTATTACCAGACGTGAAGCCCGTGAACATGATGCCGACGAGTATATCTTCTAATCTGAACCTGGGCAACATCAGTATGGCGAATTTGAACATGAACTTGTCGCAAGGACTCGCGGCGCACATGTCCATGCATAATCAGTTGGAGAGCATGATCAATACCACAGCACCGTTGACCAACATACAGAATTCCCATAACGTCCCGATGTCGCAGCAGCATTCCAACGGGTTCCCGAGTATAAAACGCGAGACTTCGCCGCCCAACATGCTGAACAATAACGGTATTCCGGGAATGAACATGGGAATCAATATGGTGGGCAATGTAGCTTCGATATTCGAGTCCATTCCTATGGTGGGAAGCATCCCGATGCAGATTTCGCAGATTCCCATCAAGAAGGAGGAAAAGCCCTTGCCCATTTCGCAGCCTCAGCTCACGCAAAAGTCCATGGACGGTTTGTGTACAATATTTATTTTTCCTTTTAAAGCATATCCACTCTGGCTAGTGTTAATCGCCAAACAAGCTTACCTTCATCCGTATTTTTATTCATACATCATAGCAAATTAATACGCAATCCATGAAACAGTTATTGATGCAGTCGATATTAATAGGTCGAGCCGATGTTATGTAGGAGATTAACGCAATGTACTAACATTACAAATGAACATTTATACTCGCTTATCTCTCTTTTGCTTGTTGATGCGTTCGCTCAAGCTCATTGTGTTCCTCGACATAAATTCTGATGTTGCGTGACTTTTAATCGCACGAATTACTTCTTCCTTGCTCAGTAATATACAAGCACTGCTTTAATAAGTGTTTTTGAATTGCTACTAATCGCTTACTAATCAAACATATAATACTATTGCTCTAGCAGGAGCTTTTTTTGCAGAAATGAACACCTTAGGAATGCCACCGATGGGTAACAATCATGCCAGTAGTCAACTCATGCCCGAAAAGAAGATGACTCCTCCCGAGTCGAAGACTCCTTCTGCAAATTTTGCAACAGCCTTCAAAAATAAGGTACTGGAATCTAAGGTAATAAAAGCTATCCCTCGAAAATTTAATTTTGTCACTTTTTATACATATTTTTTATTATATATTTATTTATATATATATATATATATATATATATATATATATATAGTACATTACATGTATTATATATATTATAGTATTTTAAGTGTTACATTTATTTTATATTTTTTTATCAATATCTTATTAAATGAAAATTAATAGAAATTTGTAGCAGAGATACATATTTAAACGCATGTTAGTGTTACTTTTTATTTATTTATTTATTTTTTTTTTAATATGTTGTGAGTTCCCAGATTGTCCCCAGATGTAATATATAATTATTTTGTCGTGTGAAGTCAAATACAAGATTTTGCATACACAGAGTGTAGAGCAGAATGTGAAAAATGCGTCATCCTGGTCTTCCTTGGCACAAGCATCCAGTCCGCAGTCATCGGCAGCAGGTAGCAGTATGAAGAGTGCCGCAACCCGAGACTCGTTCCAGGCTTTCAAGAAACAGGCCAAAGAAAAGCAGGATAGAGTTAGTTACAATATTTTCTCTTTCTTCATTTTAATGAATCAACTATTTCTTTTTAAAACCCCCGCTCCCGTAAGTGTTTGGAAAGACTTCTATAATTTTGACGCTTTAGTATGAGTACGTTTTCCGATTGTATTTTCTATACTGACAAAACAAATGATCAAGGATAAAAGTTTGTGCAATTAATCGTTATCGACTATTTTAGATTAAGATTATTTTAGATTAAGAGATAGAAGATTAAGAGTTAGAAAAGTTGATCCATATCGCAATGAAAACATCCACTTTCAAACTATCATTTAATTTATTTCATATATTATACAGAATAAACTCTCGAAGGTAAAAGCATGTTTATGTCAATATTCATGTTATTTTCTCTAGTTCCAGGGAATTTGTTTTAGATTACTTCAAGTTTCTAAAGGATTTGCTTTAGATTACCGCTGTTTACTGTTATATCATCGACGAAGATTGTTGAATTCTCATCACTTTCTCACAAAGCCGTCGTGGCGTCAAAGTTATTGGATTCACTTCCGAATAAACGTCCACCCCGTGAATAATTGTATATTTGCCGCTACATATTAAACAGCAAAGGGCCCTTCTGGAACAACAGGAGATGCGTAGGCAACAACAGCAGAAGGAGCAGGCCGAACGCGAAAGATTGCGGCAGGAGAACGAGAGGAAGAGAGAACGGGAGGAAGAGGACGCCATGGATAAGGCCAGGAAAAACGTCGGTGACCAACAAGGCAATTCCATGGCGGCCACGACGAGGGCAGAGGAAGTGAGGGCTATCGCGGACACAGACAGCAGCAGTCCGAGTCATTCGTCCAGCCAGGACAGGTCAGCCGCCGAGAGAGAACGTCAAAGACTACGGGAACAAGAGCGGCGACGACGCGAGGCGGTGAGTACTTTTGATATCTCTTTACATCTGTGGTTTTATTCGTTAAGGCTGGAACCACCGAAGACCAAAGCGAAAAGGACAAGGTCAAAATGACCTCGTAATTTTCTGCAAAAATTATATAAATTTATAACGGTGCATTTTACTTGTTTAATCAATTGATGTTGAGTGAAATTACGTACATTACTTACAAAAAAATTCTTTGACATGATGTATTTTCTCTAATACCCGTCGTTTTGATTCCTTTGATCGGAAATAAGTCGATCGTTTCGGTATGCCTAGTATTAACGAACTTATTATCGAATGATACGAATTCCTCTTGTATCACGTCATAAGCTTCGTCACGACCTAGAAATATTGAAGTAAACATTGATTATGCTAGGTGAAGTAAATATTTGATTTCTGATGACTTTGGATTTTGATGTGGCATGTGTCGTAAATATCTTGAATAATTTCCAGAAGATTTTAATCATTGCTCTTTATGTATTAAAAAGTTTTGAATAATCAACATGTAAAAATAACAACGACATTCAATAGATATAAGTATGATATACTTTTCTTTTCGGATAAATATTTAGAAATACTTTTAAATACATTCATCTGAGATCTCTTGGTTCATTAAATTGTTGAGTCTATCTTGTACCAAAATAACATATTGACCTCTACGCAAAATTTGCGTTTAAGCGATTTACCGTTGATACATATTGAATACATTGATACATTAAATACATTGTTGACCGTTGATATATTTATATATATATATATATATATATATATATATATACGTGTATACATATTGAAACTTTATGTAAGATTATTCGCTAATCTCTTCAGGATCTATTGTTTTAGTATATATATGATAGATTAATTAATGTAATGAAGTAAAATAGTTTAAGCGTCAATAACCAGAGATTTCTAAGTAACCTTCTAAAGACCTTGTGTATATATATATATATATATATATGTCGTTATATAAAAAAATTGTTTACATATAATTTTTTTTTGTGAAGAGAAATTGCGAGATGAGAAATTGTTAAAACTTCGCAGATGCTACATTTGCGATAAATGCTATTTATATTTACGAAGGATTCTACTATTATTTTACATCAACAAAAGTCTCGATGTATCATTGAACGGATATATTTGCTTGAGAAAAAATTCAGCAATATATTCGTCGTATTGGTACCTTTTTATTTCGAAACGAATCATTGACGATTCGACGTTATAAACGCTTGAGTATCTCTCGCATGAGTATCAACTACTGAATCAACAAAACTCACTCATCCACATATATGCATCAATAAATTATGAATTATTTATTTCGATGTCTTTCTTTCCAGATGGCTGGTCAAATTGATATGAACATGCAAAGTGACTTGATGGCTGCGTTTGAAGAATCTTTATAATGCTGTTATTATTTGCTGCTCGTAATAAGTCCATTGAAAGCAGTCGACGCGTCGATACATCGCATGGAGCGTCGGAATTTTGTATCGGACAATTGGACAGTGCAGTTTTGTTGTAATATATAAGTATATGTGTGTAATAAATATGTGTAAAAATGATATAGCGAACTTTTTGACAAAATTTCGATAATTTGAGAAACTGGACAGATAGACAATCGATGTTGCGGGTTTGTACAAACGATTGATATAGTTGGGACATTCCAACAGAAAACCTGAACTCGATTGTTCTTTGAGCTATATTGATCCTCGGAACAATCCTCGTCATTCGTAATCATTAGCTAGATAAGCGAAGGCATATATAGCTAATGATTACGAATGACGAGGATACTAACTTATGTTATATTTTCTCGATTTTCATAAGTTTGTACTTTATGTAAATTTGAAAACACAAAAGCAAATACTACTAATGTAAGTGAAAACGTATGAATGACTATAAAGTGTTCGATGAAGATGCCTGGGAGGGATGTATGTATATGTGTATATGTATGTATACATTTGTGTGCGTGTATATGCGGGCGTGTTTAAACAGATGTAAGAATCCGTGTATATTTAGTTAAGTTTTCTATTTTTGCATATTATGCCGCAAGTCGTTGATAGGGTTATAATAGGTACAGTGTTTCTGCCAATATTATATAAATAAATAAATATATATATATATGTCTATATATATATATATATAATATTGGCTAATACTATAATCATTTTTCTTCATTCTTGATTATAGATACACCCTTTCCCTGTTTTTCGTCTTGTAAATTTAAGTCATCGGATTCGTAATTTAAAGTTATTTTGTTTAACGATGATCATTACGAAATTCACCATAACTAACTGAATACTCGCGTTAGATTATACATCTTTACACGTTATTTACTTAACAAGCCCAGTTCTCTACATAATTAGGAATAATATGTACTTATAATCAAGAATGAATTTCGCGGGAAAATGGTCATAGTATTAGCCAATTATTATTAATTATATATATATGCATACAAAATTGGCTAATATTATAATCATTTTTTCCCAAATTTCATTCTTAATCATAGATACATCCCTAATCAACTGAATCACGCGATCCTTAATCAACATTCTTGATTATAAATACACTAATTACGAAAAAAGAAGAACTAGGCTTGTTAAATAAATAACGTGTAAAGATATAATTTAACGTGAGTATCCAGTTAGTGAGGATTATCGTTATCAAATTCAGCAAGTAATTGGGTACTCGGGTTAGATTTAAAGGCTGCCCGCCTTTCGACTTGATGATTGATCAATCGTGCGAGTGATATTTAATATTTTGATTGATACACTAGTCGTTGCGAGCCAGCCAGCTGATTCGAAGTTATTAATTAACTCACCTTAGAACAATGTTGTCAATTATTACGTGTAATGATAAGGTGGTTATAGGGATGAAGAGTTAGAGATACGAAGCACACAACACCCAAGAATAAATCAGGCATAGTTACGTAATATCGGTTTATACCTTGTACATCGTGAAAGTTGCAAGCTCGACGAAACGACAAATCACGTTCGCGTAAGTTATTTCTCGAGTTAAATATCAAGAGATATTTGCTTTATTTTCTCTTTATTTATTTCGATTTGTTTAATGGTTTTAGTTACGCTTTGAATCACTCAAAGTTTCTCTAAAATTAATAAATGAATTCATCTCGAATTCTCAGGACGGTCCGCGTCACCGTGACAATCATACAGATCTAATCATAGCTAATAATAAACATTCTAATGTAAAAAAAATTCACCCAGCCCCGCATAATAGAATATCTCGCGCTTGCCACTTTTTACGAATTTAAAAGGTTGTTACCGAGGCTTAAATATGATTCAAACTCACCTCGGCATTTTGTAGTGCATGTATTGTCTGAGGAGTTCTTACGAGTTTGTTTCAGTGTATAAAGTTTTAGATCTATAGTTTTTCGTCTTGTAAATTTGGATCGTCGAATTCGTAACAGAAAGTTATCTTGTTTGAGTAAAATTATTAAAGACCAATTCATATTTGCCTGGGCATGTTATAGGCCACGTGCTTTGAAATAGTCTTTAGTTTGTTTCGATGTATAAAGTTTTGAATGTACAGCTTCGTCTTATAAATCGAGTCTTAATGATGAGTTCTTGTGTTTTAAGTAAGATTATAATTGAAACATTTTATTTTAATACGTTTACACAACGTATTAAAACATCAGTTTTATAAACTTTACATCTCCAAACTTTATCCAAGCAAATTCGAAAGGCTTATTTGAATTCATCTCGGCACACCGTAATTTATATATTTTTTGAATAGGCTTTTCGAATTTGCTTTGATAAAGTTTAGAAATATAAAGTTATGAAAATGTATTGGAAGAATGATATAAATTATTGACAGAAGCAATTAAAGTAAAATGTTTCACTGTAACATGGTTTTGTAAGTCGACTTTTAGTAATCTTACTTAAATCAAAATAACTTTTCGTGAATCGATTTACAAAACAAAGATTATTTCAAAGTACATGGCCTGTGATATATCTAGATGGATCTGAATTGACCTTTAGTAAACTTACTTAACCAAATGTTTGAATCGTGATTTTTTTCTAAGTTTAGACGATACTTTCGTGGCGCATCGGCGAATAGCTCTAGTATATTTCTACTACAATTTATCTTTCGATAGTCATATTTAAAAAAAAATACAGATGTTATACGTATACGTACACTAGTTCATTAGAAAACTATGGTTTTCATATTAATTTAAAAATTATTGTCCAATTACAGCGTTGAATATATAAGCAGACCAAGTTGCGTTTCTAAGAATGCGAGACAGAAGTTGTTGCATTGCAAAGCGATTGCTTTCTTGATCAAAATCTAACGGACCAAACTTGGCCTGTTCTTCTCAGTGCTGCAATTTACCCACGCGTTGCGGTGACGTGGAATATTAGTAATATAAGTGAGCGAAAAGTACGACAAAAATGCGTTTTTTAACGGATATTTATTTCTTTTTTTCAGGATAAAACGTATTTCTTTTTTTTTTTATTTTTGGCGTTCGTCGAGATCCTCTACGCTGCAGTTTATCAAATATAATAACATGATAAAAGAATGCGTATTATTTTGATTATATTTGATTTATAGGATAAATATTTAGATTGACCAAACATGTGTCTTTAGATGAGATGAAAGTTAATTGGAGTTCAGTGGGAATATGCCACACGATAGATGCGCTCACACGTGTCGGCTGAGAATATTCATCTGAAAAATATAATATAGCAAGAAAAAGAAAAGCGATAAAACAAATTAAAGTTATAAGGTTCATAGTAATAATCGCAATTCAAACGATTATTAATACGGATCTAAAAGCATGAATATAAGACGAGAGTAAAGAGAAGTAATTGGGAAAAGAATGAGTATGCAAAAAACTAATAAGATTAATAGTAGTTGTTACGATTGTATAATACCGTAGTTCGTAATTGTACATATATACAGGCAAAACTAATCATTGGCAGCGAAAAAATTCAGAAAAAAACATATGATATATCTATGTATAAAATATAGGAAAAGTTATATATATATATATATATATATATATATATATAATATACACAGACATATACACAAAATATATACATATACACATCATGCATATATACACATATACATATATGCATATGTTTGTATATGTATCACTCGACACGAAACATGCTACACATATACATACACTACACATCTCTATATATGTGATAAGGTTTGTATTCTTTAAGAGGGAGAAAACCGATATATAGATTGTGTAACCGACTAGATCTCAGCGTAAGTTACGATGTAACGATAAATATTGCGTAAGTAACACCAAAATCACTCAGCTGTATCAAAAAATAATTTTTTATATAAGTTCCCACGAGCGCACATCATCTCCAATGGCACATGAATTTTAGTAAACTTATTACGACTAACGCTAGCGAACATTTAAGTGGTTGTACATAAATAATAATGAGATGAGAAAATAAATGGATAAACCGAAGAGACGGTTGATGTTGTTAAGTAAGCGAGAGAAAGTGAAGGAAAACAAGACGTAGAGTGAGAACGAAAATGTATGTATGCGTGTATGCGATAGAAAAATGGGGAGAAAGCGATTGTTTATCGAGCGTCGCGTTTACACGCACACATCCCTACTTTTTTTTAATTATAATCTAGCTATACTCGGGTATATCGTAAACTTACTTTCATATTTATGTTAAATACAATTTTTTATAAATAAATCGAATTGAAAAAAAAACTGATTCGTAAAAAAAAGCGTTGCAGTGAGTTTCAATTTTTCCAATGTAATTTTGTAACATAATCTCATCAGTAGAGAACACGCATGTGATGTTAAAAGGAAGAAAAAGAATTAAAAGAGAAAAAGATCCACGAGAGACCACACAATCAAAGACCTTGTAGAATCCTCTTCTACCTATCGTACTTAGCTTGTGACGATTCAACGATTGATATTGCATGAAAATTTGTTCCTTTTTACTTTTCTTTTTCTTTTTGGCACAACGAAGAGTATTGTTAACCACAACTCTTTGGCCGTTCATATGTATAAAAAACGTAAAAGAGAAAATTCTCTGCTTACTTAACAACGTCAATCCGCGATATATATATATATATATATATATATACATATACATATATATATATATATATTATCTGTACTGTTATTATTAATCATCACAAATAAAGAAGAAGAGAGCATGTTTATTACGATTGAATTAACGAATATATTTGAATGAGCAAATGTAAATACGAGAGCCACACAGATTACTCGATTGTACATGTATAAAGAATCTACCTTCCCTAGTTTGTAATTTTGCATGTTACATATATACATATATATATATATAGATACACACAAACACACATACATATAAATAAACGCGGAGAGTGGAGCAGAACGCAAATAAGAGACCTGTATAGAAAGTCACTCGTAGCCGAGATACATAGAAAGGAGCACCGTCATGGTTTCGTACTTGACATAGGTTTTCCTCTAAGTTGCGAAGTGTCGATCTCGCGTCCCCCTTCTTGCGCGAAACATCGAGTGTCGCGAAAGAAATAAAAAGAAAAGAAAAGAAAGCAAACCGTCTCGACGAGCGTCGAATCGGACGCGCCGTTGCGACTCGACGTTCGCCGACGCGCGAGAGGATCTTCTCCCGTTCGGACGCGATCCTCGACGGGCCGAGATCGATTCGGCGTGCGTTTGTAAACGCTGACACGACGACGTTTCGCTCGCGCCGGAAGGACGATGCGAAATGTTGGCACAGAGGCAGCTGCCGAAATATGTCGCGCTCGCGATTTTTCTCGCATAAGTTTAAGTTCCGTAGCACGAACGTTGAATTTTGCACCACCCGGCGTACTTGAGTTGCGAGTTGCCCGAGAGCGCAGAGAGAGAGAGAGAGAGAGAGAGAGAGAGAGAGAGAGAAATTATTATTATTGGGAGCTTGCGAAAGTTCGTCGGATTGTCGAGACGATTACGTAGCTCGAGCGACGAGTCGCTTCGCAGAGAGAAATGCGCGAAATCGGGCGATTACCTGCAAACAATGACGGCGGCTCAGACCGGTGGAATAACGATGGCAGATACTTCGATTGAACATAAACATGTTCATGTTTTTCTTATTATACCGAGCCGTGCACGAAGGGAGCACGCGTGAGAAAATCCGACGAACTTTGGCCGGCACCCGCCGCCGACAACAAAAGGAGAGAGTCGGATCGCTGTGTATATTATCGATATCCCCGAAATAAAACGCATATTATATACGCTATTATAATCCTCACACGAGAGTATGCTAATAATCCTAAGGTTTAATTATTAATAATTGCAATGAAGGCAAACGAGTCTGTAGCGGTTTAGTGTTTCATTGTGACCCCTCACTCCCTGTCCCGTGACCGTTGCATGTAATTGATTTGCAGTGATCGACGGAGATCCCGCCGTCGGATTTCCGCGGATCTCTCCGATTTATCCGTCACGTTCTCTCGCACAATTAATTGATTAACTACGTAGTCTCCTCCCACTGTGAGAGGCGCGACTCCGTCCGCTCCGGCGCCGCAATCACACGATTGTTGTCAACAATCTAGCTTCTCTTTTTCCTTTAGGGGGCGAGAATTAAAGTTGAGTTGTCGATAACAATATCATTGCGCGTTTGAGGAAGAGAGAGAGAGAGAGAGAGAGAGAGTTAATTAACACGTATTTTGTCCGAATATCTTTTTCCTCATGATTGATCTGCGAAGGAGATCTCGCTACTTTCGCCTGCAGCTTGCCTGCTTTTCAGCGGCGCCAAAGTAATCGGATTCGCTCCCGCTGCGACACCGCACACGCATCGTGTCTCTTTGATCGTTTTGTTGCTGCGCAACGATTAGCCAAGAATTATTATTATTCATGTGTTGCGACATCGCGCGCCGCGGATGTTGACAAAGCAATAAATCGTAGGGACAAGAGTGGATTAAAAGAGTAACATTGTTGCTAAGTAGCGGGGTGCGTTTTATTTCGACCCGCGAGGAAGCCGCAAGATAACAGCAGCCTCTCGGTCTCTCCGCTCAGACGTCGCGTTGCTTGCTGAAGCGATGGAACTCCTTGAGCCTCAGGGCCTGCGTGCGAATGAATCCAGTGGCGTCCGCGGGCTCGAAGTCACCCTGCACGTCCATCGAGACGAGATTCTCGTTGTACAGCGAAACCTCGCTCGATCTGCCGATCGCCATAACTGCGTGAGGGAAAGAAGAACGGCAATACGTTAATCCTACCGTCGATCGATAGGTTGGCGTTTTAAATTCTTGTTTTTAGCGCCAAACGCGAGTGAAACCGACGTCGATCCTTCCCATACGGCACAAAAATGTTGCTGCAACTTTTGTTGCAGCTGCACGGGTTTCCTTTTTTCTTTTTTTTTCCTGCGCGGATCTGCTTGGCGCTAAATCGCAGCTCGAACCGCAATCAATACCAACCGTTTCCCCTGTACAGTTGTAGCCTCACTGTGCCGTTGACGTATCTCTGCGAGAGAAGAATGCTTTCCCGCACAAAGTTGCACTCCGGCGAGAACCAGAAGCCTGCGATCAGAATATATTTTTTTGCGATATTTCATATTTCGTGGATATGCCATGCCATGTATTATACTCATCGGCACAAAAGTTGCAGCAACATTGTTGCAACAAAGTTGCAGCAATGTTGCCGCAATTTTTTGTGCTATATGGAATACGTGCGTTCAATTACCGTTGTACACGTAATCCGACATCCTGTCCGTCAGATAGGACTTGACCCGCAGGACTTCGCGGTCCAACGCAAACACCTCCAAGTCCTGATGCGCGACGTGTAGGATCTTGGCTCCCGGTGACTCGTAAACTCCGCGGGACTGGACAAAAACATTTCAGCGAGCTTGATTATCATTCATTTAACGCGCGTTATCCCGAATTTTTTTGCTACAAGATTATTGTGGATTATCGCGATTGTGATACGCGCGGTTCGCAGTTTGCTGACTCGCGCTACAAGCGTACCTTCAGCCCGATGTATCGATTTTCCACTATGTCGACCCTCCCGATACCGTGCGCCCCTCCGACTTCGTTAAGATACTCGATTATCGCCAGGGGAGCGTCGAGCGTCCTTCCGCTCTTCACGTTTCTCACGCGAGACGGATATCCGTGTTTGAAGTCGATCTCGATCTCCTCCGCCTCCGCGGCGGCACTCATGGGGTCGGTAGTCATTTTGTAGAGTCCTCTCGGCGCGGGGTTCGCAGGATTCTCCAACACCCCCGACTCGTAGCTACGGACGAAATAAGATGCGAAAAGGGTCGAGCGGGTACAACGCGCGCAATCGTACTCGAATATTATTTAATAGACGATAAAAATGTTATTTGATATATAATATGAAAGTATTTCATTTAATTATTATTTGTTAAATATATTCAACGGAAGGTCATCTTAGAAGAAGTTATACCTAATATGCACGAGATTAGCATCGGTGCTCCACGGTTCCTTCGGCGTCGCCGAGGTCGGGATTCCATTTTGTCGGGCGTACTCCAGCAAGTCCGGTCTTCCTTGGAACCTCGTGTAAAATTCGTGCTCCCTCCACGGCGCCAAGATCTTTGAGAATTAAAATTAAATTATCTTGCGTCGTAAAATTGTAACTACGATTTAGCCGCTCTTTCTTGCGTCTCGCGCTTTCTCGCGTGTGTGCTACTGGCAGATAAAGCCCAATCAAAAACAGAAAAGCATGATGACACCAAAATGACGTCAAAATGATGTGGAAAATTCATTTTTTTCATCATGATTCGATCATTTTCTCATCATTTTGATGTCACTTTGATGTTATCATGATTTTTTGTTCCACTTGGGAGGTGGAATCCTGAGAAATAAAAGTTGCCCTGACTCTCACTGTTGGTACACGTACTACATGAAGATAAATCGCCCTTCACGTGCAGTGAATTATACTTTTGGAAGATAAGAAGATTCTTCTGACATGCCGTGATCAGTCGCATCATATTAGTTAAAAAATAAAAAGTCCTGACCCGCCGTTGAGTCGTACTACTTAAAAATAAAAAGAATATGTCCACTCCTTTGACTGCGACCTCGATTTGCAGACCTCGTCAGCAAAAACAGTAGCGACTTGTAGCGGAGGTTTTGAAACCATAATGCGTGGTTCCAAAGTCACCGCTACGAACCGCCACTATTCGTACTGGCAAATCGAGGTGGTGGTAGGGATTGGCGATGTTATAGAAAATAATTGGTTAAAAACAATGACGTATATAACTAGACCAAGCATTGGCCGTGTTCAGCAGAAAAAGCTGCTTACTAAGCGCTTAGTGATTATTATCTATGATTGGAGTATTCTTTTAGATCTTTAACAAATCTAGGAGAATGAACCAATCAGAAACGATAATCACTAAGCGCTGAATAAGCAGCTTTTTCTGCTGAACGTGGCTATTCCCTCGAAGGGAGTGAAGCCAGAAGTTGGCAGTTTACGACAGAGTGAGAACGTTGCACGGCATCAAACCTCTCTTACTTTATCCTATAGACTGTCAAAAGTAATAAGGTATACGACTACGTAAATCATGTGAACATTGAATGCAAATGTATATATTTGCATTAGCAAGTCAAATATATATAATAAGCATAAATAATTAATAATTACATAATATGTAGAGTTATCGATATCATATATTTTTCTGATAAATATTTTGATACGTTACATATTATTTTCCTAAAGTTGTTTACTGTCAAACTTAGGGCCAGAGCACAGACTTCTGCATAACGCATAATACAAAACGCATAAGAGAATCAACCAATCCAGAGTTCTTCATTTCTATCCTGAGGAGGGAAATGAAGAAAACTAATTGGTTTATTCTCTTATGCGTTATGTATTGTGTTATGCAAAAGCCTGTGCTCTTGTCCTATTATCTGTGATTAATACTTTCTCACTCTGTTCTACAGCTGTAAAATGTTTACGAACAACGTGAATCATGTGAATGTTGAATGCAAATGTGTACATTTGCATTGAATCGTATAAACATTAAGTATATGAAATATATATATTAGAAAAATAAATATCAGAATAATACAATAGCGGTAACTGCTCAATATAGATATATATCTTCGCACTCAATGTTCAAATAACTTATATGGTTCGTATCGCGCCATATTGCTTTTGACAATCTGTAAGATAGAGTGAGAAAGGTTTAATGCCGTGCGACGTTCTTACTCTGTCGTAAACTGCCAACTTCCGACTTCACTTCCTCGTCCATAAGCTGGTCGAACGCTTGGTTCTAATTATATACGTCATTGGTTAAAAAGTTGATTTTAGTCAGGATTCGAACCAGAATTTACCGCAATCTGCAAAATTTAGCCAAGACTCGAACTACCGAAATTGACGATCAGTGCAGAACGATTCTAATAACATGAAACAAAAAACTATTGTCTAGCAAGTGATCAAGATACGCAAGAACATCATACGACTTTGTAAAATAAAAATAACCAATGTCAAATTAATCGAGGTGATATCGCCTATCCGTCGTAGATAACAGTACAACCCAATGACTGGCATTACTGACGATTAGCTCATTGTGCGACTCTCGCGTTTCAATCTTTTATGTTACCCATAGAATAAGCGTAAAATACCTTGATGTCAGGACAAAGACTGTAGCAGCTCAGCTCAAAGCGAACTTGATCATTGCCTTTTCCGGTTGCTCCGTGCGCGATGATGCCGGCACCTTCGGCTCTCGCGATCCTTATCAGACCTTGACTGATGCACGGTCGAGCTATGGAAGTACCCAAAAGGTACCTTCCCTCGTAGAGCAAACCACAGGCCACAGCAGGCCACACGTAAGAAGTCACGAATGCTTCTTTGACATCGTCTATCACAACCTTGCGGACAATTCACAGATATACATTTCGGACGGTAATAAGTACATTTGAAACATACCCAGTTAGAACCACAACGTTGATTCGACGTCGACGGGAGTTGAATTAACGTTGATTCAACGTTTCTTCGACCATTTCAACGTCAAATCAACGTCGAACTAGTACAGAAGCTCAAGTTGCCCAACTTCTTTACGAAAGTTTGAAATAACAAAATTTTACAAGAGAATAAAACAATTTTTTCACCTTAACGGCGCCGATTTTCAGCGCCTTCTTTCGAACCGCGTCCAAGTCCTCGTTTTGCCCAATGTTGGCCTGAACAATCAACCCTCTTATAATATACTCGCTTATATAAAATCACAAGCACACGGTTACGGGAATCCTTACCACGTAGGCGACTACTTGAAATCCTTTTTCTCTCAGCCAGAACAAGATGCAAGAGGTATCTAGTCCGCCGCTGTACGCGAGGATCACCTTTTTCTTCGAGTCCGACATCGCCTCGGCCTCGCTTCGAGTAGAGATCGAGAAGAACACGACGAAGAGACGTGAAAGGCTGTTACGTCTGTTAACAGCAACGCTTGTCGAGTTACTTCCTCGCTCTCCGCTCTTTTATAATTAAGTTCGCAATTTGACCCTGAATCACCCCGATAACCTCCGCGAATTCGCTGTCGAGAGCGAGACCAGTCGCTGCTTGTCAAGATAATTTGGCGAACGAAGCGATATCCGAGGCTGCGTGGTTTCCCTCTTCGATTTAGTTCGCATATCGGGCGATTATGATGTGATGAGTGTGATAATTAATGAGAGAAATGATTAACAAAAAGAGCTGGATCGTATTGTAGGCCTTTATAAGCAGAACACTTTGTTTGGAGAACTATAATCTACATATACGTACATATACATATATATATATATATAATATATGTAACAGGATATACTCTCTCTATAAATATCGTTTAACTCCGTAATAATCTCTCCGCTAATAGATCGCAACATTTATCGACGTCACATCAATAATCATTACCACTGTTACATCGTTCGTCGACAGGCGCAAGCTTCTCAACCGAAAGCGCGCTTCTCAACCGAAAACGCGCTTCTCTACCACACACACACACACACACACACACACACACACACACACATACACACACAGCATTGCGGAATGATTGCTATTCGATATTGCAGTAGACTTTACGATACACATTTTGACATTACAACTGCGTCTGCGACTACATTGAACGAAAGTAAAATCGTCACTAGTCAGAGTCAAGTTTGTCAGAGAGAAAGAGAAAGAGAGAGAAAGAGAGAGAGAGAGAGAGAGAGAGAGAGAGAGAGAGAGAGAAAGAAAGAGAGAGAAAGAAAGAGAGAGAAAGGAGTGAGAGAGGTAGAGAGACAGAGAGAGCCAGGTGAATATTACATATCATCGTGAATATATTATATATGTAAAAATTACGTCAAAAGTATATATGTCGTGTGTGTATGTATGGTGTATGGTGTGCGTGTAATGTAAGTAGTAGTAGTGATGTAAGTAGTTGTAAAGTAGTGTTCGAACCGGTGGTCGGGTAATTGAAATTAGACACGTTGATATTGCACAGACCTATCGAGGTACAGCTAAGCGAGTCAACGGAGACAAAAGAAGCGAGTCAGATCGAGTTGGTACATCTAGCGGTTTTATTTTACATCCAGTATGGGGTATGTCGCTAACTAGCGTAGGTCCGGGAAAATAACATTATATCGAATAAATAACGTGGCGTAGCGCAGTGCCGGTGCTAAGGTATTCGGAGATTAGTACGGGGAGAACGCTGCGCGTCGCGACGCGCGACACCCGGACTCTTTTGATCGTGACAGAACCGACCGCTGCGGTGATGCCGAGCCAGTACGAGCTACGTCCTTTGAAGTGCCAACTCGGGTCTGTGGTCGGTGAGTCTCTCTCTCAACGATATAGCGGAGGGTAACGCAACGCTAATAATAAACGACAAATGTACAGGAATATATATCACGATCCTCCACTACGACACACAGAAATTCCTCCGCGCGAGTTCCCCTCCCTTATTACCGACAAAGGGCGGTGCGAATACTCGTGGTTGTAGAACCTCGCCGGAGGCCCGATCGCGAGCCCCCGTTGCGCACCTTGGCGCGACCTACATCAGTATTGCCAACATGTCTCATGCGATCTCCGATCGGTGACTATGTATTCGCGCAGGCACTTGATTCTAGATAACTCTCTCGGATCAAGATCCCTCGTGCGTGACTATTACACGAATACTTTCATTGTTAGCCGGCTGACGGTTGCGTCGCGTCGAGGGTGCATATACCTCTCGTGCGCTTTTCGGCGTTTCCGCCCGGAACGAGGCGCTCTCGCTCAAGAAGAATTGACACTGCGTTCGTTCGCTCGACTTTTACATACTAATTTCGTGCTCGAGATCATTGATGGCTTCATAGCTGGTATTACTGATGGAGTCGAAGCTAATGGCAGATTAAGAGTGCGGGAATGTCGTCTGTTCCTCGGTCTATGCGGTACCTTAGACGTGCAGCTTGCTCAGGTCGTTCAAGAACGACTTTGGTGTGATTACGTGGGACGAGCCTGCGACGAATAGATATTAACGACGCTGAACTTTCAAGTATACGAATCAAGCGGACATGAAACTATTGGGAAAGCTTCTCGATCGGAATCGTTCCATTTTTCCTGGACAATAAAGTAGAAGTCTAAAGAATAACGGAATCATTTCGATCAGGATTCTTTTTAAACAGCTTCACGAGAACCGAACTGCTCGTCGACTTTAAAAGTCAGAACTAATTCTTACCAATGATGACCTCCCAGTTTTTCAATGCGTTTGTCACCTCGTAAGCGCATCGTATCTCGGAGAAGCATACGCCGCCAACTATAAAGACGATCAAACGGGGAACGTTCTTGATAGTTTGTTGACCTTTGTCTTTGTGCCAGTGACCGTATCGTGCGCTACAAACGTGCACATTATTATTTGGGGCAATTGACGATGTAGAATCATTGATAGACATTGATAGAAAACAGTATAAGATGCCGTTACAACATTATAATATGTATAACCTGGTCGGTGCGTGATATCCTGAGCTGGCCGCGCGACCGGCGAGAAACGGGAAGTGCTTGGAATCGAGTTTATCCTCGATGGAGTCCTCCATGACATCCTTGATAATCGGCGTCCAACGGCTCATCTGATAAGTCTGCTCCGTGATTCTCTCCTTACGCTGTACCGTGTACAGCTTCTTGCGATTGCCCTGCGGACGCGAGACGACAGTGCAGTGAGACACGAGGTCGAATTGCTAGCGCTTTCAAGCGATGTCGCTACAAAGTATCGCATGATGTACAACGTGCGAGGTAGCAAAGGTTCTTCTTACTTCCACGACAACGTTAATGCCGAGATTCGCTATGTTAACGATGGTCTGTTTATCGTCGACTGACACTTGAGCGTGATGAACCAGCCGGTTCAGGTTCTCGTCGGAGATGCCGTTTTTACTGATCACGTACAGAGAGATGATGCGCAGTTTGTCCAGATGATTCACCGTCTGATCGAGGAGGATCGGCGTGATGTTCTTCATGTGGTCCTTGATGCGCTCGCCTTCCGCGTCGGTGCCCATAGCCAGGTCCTAAGAGGCGCGAGGAAATATGATTAAAACCGCATATCTTGCGAGATAGGCCATGATGTAACGACATTATTGAGGTACCACGCACTTGCTCGACTTTACACAGCTTGTCCACATTTCCTTGATAACGCTTCATGCAGTCCTCGGCCAACTGCAGGTGCGTGGCGTATTTGCTCAATTCTTTTTGATACTGCGGCATCTTTTTGATCATCTGTGACAGATCTCGCATACTCTGCTTGTCGCCCTGCGGCATCCTTTTTGATTCTGTGAATTTCTTCAGGTTCTTAGTCACGTTCCTGTAAGAAATCAAGTTTTAGTTTTAAGCCGTTATGCGAAATTCCTGCTACGAGATGTCGGCATCTTGGGTAAACTTGCAATCCGTACGTACTGTGACACCACGGCGATATGCTGATGCCTGAGTTCCACCCACAAGTCATCGTTCTCGTCCAACAGGACTTCCTTCTCTTGTCCTGCCGTCGCCTCAAACCTGTTCGACATCATTGCGATGTTAGTCGCTTTCATTAAATCCATAATCGCGTGAAAGGTGAGACGAGGTCTACCTGTAGACATCGTTGTCAATGTCCAACAAATCGTACGCCATGGCCTGTAGCGTGAGTTCATGCAAGAGAGGTGAGACGCAGTCGAATCCTCTGTCCAAGATTAGCAGTTGAGAGCGCGCTTTCTCAGGACCCTCTCCCATAGTCGGCTCGTCAGCCTTGTACGCATCCAGCTTTTGCTGCACCAGTTGGGCCAGCTCGACATTGCGGTCGAAGTCACTGCGGCATATTCGATATTTCTCAATTTCTTCTAAGTTCAGAGAGTTGAAGATCGCTTTTAGAAAGTAAGAAAAACGTAAAAAAACGTCCACAAGGTAGCATTTGCTTTGTGTTAGCTGAAATTTGCAACTGAAAGATTTGCAAAATTTACAAAAGCTCGAGTTCTCGATTATTACCTGCGATATCTGACCGACGGGTACTCTCCGAGAGTGGCGCAGAGTGTCGCGATCTGTTCGGCGATGCGCTCCATGTTGGCCGGTCTCAGGTTGAAGAAAGACGGATTGTAGAAGCAGGCGAAAGTCTCGCGCGAGTCCAGTGAGAAGACCTAGGTCCGAGAAATGAGATCAATACGACATCCGATCCGGTCGCGTCCAGCAACGCGACAAAGCCAATTGCAAAACGTTTGTTCGTATCATACTTAAGAAGCAAAGTAAGTGAGCATGCTGATAATATTTTAGTAGCCTTCGGAAAGCAGTGAAGTCGGGCGATTGAACTCGCGAGACGCTACTCTAACTCTACAGAAGGATTCCCCGCAACGCGCGAGAGCGGGAAAAAGAGAGACGTGTCCCCGTCGCCCGGTCATTCGCAAACGCAAAAAGCAAACCGACGAATCGGAAAAAAGCAGCGAGCGATTTCTAAAGCCCGTGAGAAAAGACGACGGTGAGCCGGCGATCATCCTCGCGGTTTCTTCTACAGCTCTACCTACTATGCGTTCTACTACTTGGTCATTTTTTCTCTCTTTTTTTTTTCTCGTTTCTATTTGCTTTTTTTTGCTCGTTTCTTTATCGTGTTTGTTTCTCGTCTATTCTCCGCTTGGTCGTCACCTGCGATTCGTACGGCAGGAATGCGATGTTGATCTCTTTGAGGGTTTTGATCTTTTTAGCGGCGAGAGACTTGCAGAGTTCATTGAACAGCTCCTCCGGGCATACTGGCCGTGTGCAAGCATGAATGCATTCTGATTATTAGTATGTGCTCGTTCGTGAGTCATTGTTGAAGGATCGGGGGAGCGCGGGTGGGAAGTGAGAGGAGATTTACATCGCGCTAACGTCGTACCGATTGTTATCCAACTGTGGTCCGCGTGCGATTAGATTTCCACGTGATTAGAGACCGAGAGAGAAGTGAACACAGATAGACGCGTGACGAACAAACAATTTTATTGTTTGTCCATGTGTGTGTATGTGTGTGTGTGTGTGTGTGTGTGTGTGTGTGTGGGTGTGTGTGTGAGTGGGTGGATGTGTGGGCTATGTTAGTGTGTGCACGTGTATGTACGTGCCCGCCACCATGAAGAAACGTTCAAACATTTGTCTTGTCATAATGTTCGTTGCTTTACCTGCTCTTCGTACGGTATGAAAGCGATGTTGATCTCTTTTAGTGTCTTTATGTGCTTAGCTACCAGCGAGTGACACAATTCTTTGAACAACTCGTCGGGGCACGCTGCAAAAAAATATACTGAGTATTTCGAGTTCAGCAGGAATCTTTCTGTTGAAGGATCGGCACCGCTCATGTGTGTATGTGTGTGTGTGTGTGTGTGTGTGTGTGTGTGTGTGTGTATTAACACACTCAGTCTTCGGGGTGGTCGTCGGACAAGAGATTCAATTTCACAGATTTCGCGGGTTACCGCGAGATTGAATGCGCATGTTGCGAAAAACCCCGGATTAAGATACTGGCAAAGTTACATCGGCGTTCGACCGAAATCTTCAGCGAGAAAGCGTCGGTTCTACGAGAATAGGAATTCCATAAATGCATTCCCATTGCCGACACCCCGTTCCCCTCGTCACAAGGTATTCCGTTTAGACTCTTTACGTCGAGTGTCTTCGGGAGCTACGTCAATTACTTCCCCTCGCGGGAAAGACGATTCGGACCGTTCGAATTCGTCATCGGGGTGTTGGAGGATACGCTGATCCTTAGAGGTCAGTGGGGGATCAACCGCAACGGATACCTTCGGTGAAGTATACATGAGCGACCTTGTAGGTGGTTCTCGTCGGATTACTAAAGTCGTCGATCAGCTTCTGTACCGACGAGTTGCACGGCGTGATGAGGTAGATCGCCTCCATCGTTGGTAGCGGCTCGCGCTTCTTGTTGATGTCCTCCACCAAGGTGATGCCCTGCGCGCTGATGTCGTGCATTTTGCAGCACGCCGACACCATCCTCATCGCGAGCTGGTCCACCACCAGAATCCGCCATTCCACCCCGCCTGTTGTCTTCTTCTTCTGCTTGATCACCTCATTCATAATCTCTGTGACGTTAGAGGGTTCGTAATTAGTGAGCGCTCTTTATTGCGAATTTAACGCAATTTAATGAAGGACGATTTAACGGAGATTTCACATCAATAATTTATCTAGAGTGAAAATGAAAAAATTCAGATCGAGAGCAATCGATGTGACATTGATTTTACGTCAAGTAATTTTTTAAACAGCCATCGATGGCTTTTCTTTAACGAATCGCCGGATATTTTTCTCTGATAATTATAATAGTGTAACATTTAAGAAGAGAGACATGTATGAAAGAACACATTTATTAAAGAGGGAATTACATGCGGAGCAGGTTTTCAAGGCTATTTTTATGAATTTTTTTAACAGAAACGGTAGGATCAATGAACTGGAAATGTTCACAATGTGTTCATTAATATTCAAAGTATAAAATAAATTTATTACTATCTATATGGAAAGTGCACATAAAACTTTTTAAATGCGTTTATCTGAAAACACAATTTTTTAAAATTGTCGATACGATTATGCAAAAATTACTGAACCGAATAACTTGATATTTTTACATAATATACAGACATGTAGACATGTAGTTTCCGCGCCTCTACCTCGATCACAGTTATATTTTATTTTATTCATTTTTTTAAACATGATTACAAGTTGAAAAAAGTTTCATTTTCGATACTTCTTTTTGTGCAAACATTATTTTTCCAAATTTGGCTTCACTGCCTTCATTTGCGTGCGGGCTATAATGGCAACCGTATGTTTTAAAAATCTTTCTCAATTTTTGGTTTCAGAGTAATGAGAGAGAGGCCCGGAATTATGTCGACAGCAAACATAAAGCTCGCAAACGGATGACTGTATTTTTATCTGTAATTACAAATCGGACCGTTTCTTGTGATTCAATAAAATTCATTTTACACTTTGAACATTAATGAATACATTGTGAAAATTTCAAGTCCATTGATCTTATCATTTCTGTTAAAGAAATCCGTAAAAATAGCTTTGAAAACGGCCTTCCGCATGTAATACCCCCTTTAATCGCTCGTATGGAACATGCGAGTTACATGTTTCCTCCCGAATTCGATCGATACATGAAGATACATACAGCATTGCGAGAAATGCAGCAATTACAGAGATTAAAAAGAAAAACAAAAGAAGATGCCGATGCTCGTGAAAGACAGCTTCTCTTTGAGCGCGACAGCGCAATCGGATATTGCGTTCGACAGGTCGACAGGTTCAGCTACGAAATTCGTCTCCAGCAGACGGACTGCTCTCGTTCAAGGAATCGTGAGAATTAATGAGTCGACTCGATGGGACGGAGAACGAAATCGTGGAGACGTTAATCGCGAGGCCGCGATTGACGGCAGCGAGCGAGAGAGTGAGAGAGAGAAAGAGAGAGAAAGAGCGTAATTCGCAGTGGTCGGCAGGCGAGTCGTCGACAATTAACATCGTTAATCATCGACGTTAACGTCGCTGGCGGGCGGCCTAAGCTAAGAAGTCCTTTGCTCTCAAAACGTATATTGATCGTCTTTACGAAGGGGTGACGTCACTACATCAGGCGCGTATCAACGAGGCTGCAGACCCCGCTGCCGGAAACGTCGGCAGCGGAAGGATCTGCGCGTTCGGACACGAAAAGCAGCAGAGTCTTCCTCAATCTTTTTTGTCCGCAGGACTAAGCTCGGTAGTCTTCGACGTGGCTCAATGGCGCGGAAAAAGCGATCGGGGAAGTTTAACCGCGGAATCAGTCGACTTGGGAGATCGACACGAGGTTCACACTGGAATCACACGGTCGTTAATTACTTTCCAATCATCATCGAGCTTAAAATCGACGGAGGATGCGAGCGGTGTTTCTCTTCATGAAATATAATACTTGTAGATAGACCGACCGTGACGGCGATGCGATGTTCTCTTCATTTCCGCCGACAATGTGGCGCTAATTATTCATCGCGTAAGACGTGAAAATGATTTCGCGAGCGTAATGGAAAATCGACGGCGGGTGTCTCGCGGCAGGCGGAAATTCGCGCATTTCTCCGATCGGCTTTATTTATAATTATAATCAGTGCATTTCAGAAAAGAATCCCATGGCAAGGTCGACACGGCCGAATTACTTCGAGGGAGCAACAGTTTCCCTCGCGGAACGAGCGTCGTCGCCGCTCATCATCATGAGCGATAACGTCCCGTTCAACGAGTGTTTCGCGCGCTCGAGTTGATAAAGCGAAATTCTTCGGCGCCGTTTTCGCCGCACAGCGAACGGCGCGTTCTGCGAGAAACATCGCAGAAAATCGCGGACGCGGAGGTGTTCCCGCTTGGTGATGTCCTCCGCGAGACGGCGTCCGCGGGCTCGTCGATACTCAGCGGATCGTCGTCGCGAACGCGTCGCAGTTGCCGCTGACAATTTCGACAATTTCAACGGAAGAAGATTTACAACGTCACACGGACATGTGATAACGGGGGCGATATGTGTTTACGCCTGACAGACGCGTTGACGCACGCGACGACCGAGGCGAGACAGCTTCATCTCCCGCGCCTCCCCGCGCGCGCGCCCACTCGCCGATCGAGCTCGTCGCGAGGAAGCGTCGAGACGTCGAGCTGCGATCCGAGCTCGTCGCGACGAAGATCCTCTCGACTCCGACGCGCTCTCCACGGCCGATGTTTGACGTTTCCGCGGCCGCCTGCTCGGCGGCTGCCGTCCGATGAAATCATCGGCGACACGTACGCCCAACGTCAGCTCGGTTTCTCGACGCGACGGCCGTCACGACAGGTGCGAGATCGACGCGATCGAGACGTCTCGCGGCTCGGCCGACGAGGTTGAGTGACGACGTTCGCGAACGGACGCGAAAGCAGCACGAAATAAACGTATTTTTACGCTACTCACTCTGACCGACTTGTGCCTTGAGCGCCATTTTGCCAGGACTAACTGCCCGCCCGCTCGCCAGATGGCGATACGATCTCCGAATTGCATCCGGCGCGGCGGCCGCAGCAATTGCTTCGATCGGCACCTGCGCGTTGCGAGGTGTGTGTCATGGGCTTTCTGCTGCTCTCGGCTGCACTTTCTGTACCTTCCTCGCAATTGTTCGCTCTTCTCCTCGGTCTCGTGCTAAATGCTGACGGTACGTTTTTGCCTTGTCACAAGCACGTAGAGTGTAGCGGTGAATATTTTTATAACGTTTAATGTTTTTTCTCAACTGCGGTCAAGTTGTTCCCTCAGCTCGTATTGTGCTGCACTTTCAGAGGGCGGAACGAATAAGGTAGAGGCCAACGTTGAAATAACAGAGATCGAAGACCAGAACCGAGTGCAAAAGGTACAGAAAGTGCACCTGGCTAGAGCAGACACCTGTATTATATACCTCCTGTAGCGAAACAGGTGTAATGCCGTAGTTTAGACATAAATACGTATTTAGAAGTTGAAGGAAACAAGGAGGGAGGAGTCTGTCGGGGAAAAGTACAGAAAGTGCAGCTTGCTTGTGACAGCGACTCGGGTCTTTAAGCTTCTTTACCAGACGACACCGCGACCAGCCTCATGTTTGAATATTTTTGTGTATGAGTGTGAAATTAGATCATTATATTCGGTTTCTTAGCACAATATAAGGATATTAATGAGTTGCACATGTAATAAGTGACGCGATAAGTGACGAACACACTCTATGCGTGGAAGTCACGTGCCTATCCTCTCGCCAATCAGATGCGGAAAGTCCAACATCCCATTTAAATTCGTAATTTGAATTTGAAAGTTCAAATCGCTAATCATAGGAGCGACCAATGGTATACGTGACACAAACTATACATTTTCTAGCATTACATTACTAGCAGTGAATTTCGGAACGCAGCCTAAATCCATCCATTAACAAGTCTTTTCTTGCCCTCCGAGGCCGTTGGAAGTGGTTTTGTCCTTACGAAATTACGCGTAACTTTTTAAATATAGAGGACTGCGTGCATATCGCACGCAGTCCTTATTCGTATCACACTTCTTTGTAATATTCTAATTCCAATTTCATACTTTTCGTTAAATAGCGTTGGGGCGAAACCTTAGAAGGTGCCTGTAGCCAGAATTGAGAGAGAGAAAGAGAGAGAGAGAGAGAGAGAGAGAGAGAGAGAGAGAGAGAGGGAGAAAGAGACTAAATCCATTCATCTCCGGTGATTATTCCATTTAATTAACATACAAATCCTCGAAATATGACGTGCGCGCAAAACCTATTATTGATTTCAGGTCGAAACCTATTATCGAATTTTTTATCATCGATCGCTTTGAACGTTCGCGATCGGAACGATCGGAAGTCGTCGGTGAGTTACACAGGCTGCGTTCCGAAATCCACTGCCAGTACTGAAAATACATACTTTGTGTCACGTATACTATAGATTTTCAGTACTGGCAGTGGATTTCGGAACGCAGCCATAGTACGGAAGCTTCGAGAGAGAAAATGTCCACTCTGCCGATTACGCGCGTCTGGATCGTCCGTAATAGCGTTATCTGATTACGGTATTTCGCAAGCCCAGTATCTGGCCTCGATAGCGCGGTACCTCGCGTCCTCGCATCGATACATTTCCGTAAGCGACCGGGCGATCGCGACAAGCCGATCGGAGCAACGAGCGGATGACGCTGCGCGATGCCGGGCTATTGAGATCGAAGCGTCCGATTTGCACGAGTGACAACGGCCGGCGATTACGCGCGATGAGGCGCACGCGAGAGAGTCGAGACGGTAAGCAACAACGAGAGCAACGGACCACCTGACAACGAGAGCGAAAGGAGCGAGTGAGAGCGAGAGCGAGAGCAAGAGCGAGAACGAGAGCGAGAACGAGAGCGTGGCGAGAGCGAGAGGCGAGGGTGAGTGGAAGGGAGAGAAGAAGACGGACAGAGAGAGGCGGAGTGAGAGGGAGAACGAGTGAGTGTGCGCGCGACAGAGACGGGAAGGTGAGCGAGGACGCGGCAGCTCTCAGTTCGGATTTGTTCGTCGTCGTGTGTGCTTCGCGTCTGTACGCGCGCGCGTGCGTCAGTGCGTTTTTCGTCCGTGTCTACACAAATCACACGTTTGTACGTGGATCCTTTGGCTTGTCCTTTCGTCCGTTCGACCGCGTTTGTCGAGGACCGGCCGACACGTTGGGTCTTTCTTTCTCTCTCCGTCGTGTCGTCGCGAATTGTCGCTGTGATTTCTCGTGAGACACCCGAAAGTCGTTCGCTCGTCACGAAGTCGTGCGTGTCACCCTCGCGTCGTGGGCGTGTGACAAAAGGAGAGACAGGCTAGGAGAGGAAGAGAGAGAGAGAGAGAGAGAGAGAGAGAGAGAGAGAGGCGCGAGAAAACGCGCGGTCGTCCCGCGTCGCGTCTTTCGCACGCGCGGAAGAATGTGTGCCGGCGCGATTAGCGGTATCGTTTCTCAGTGATAATCGGGAGACGCGCCGCCGGAGGTTTTGTGTGATCAGTTGTGCGACCTGTTGGTGCCGGGGGAGAAGCATCAGCGCGACCTGGATTTCGAGCCACGTCCGCGATACGAGGGCAACGATGAAGCTGGAGTATCCCTGTCGCGTCGAGGGCTGGCTCAACGTTTGCGGTGAGTACATACAATATGTTTACATACTCGCAAATGATTGAGAGAGGAAGAATAAGACAGACTCTCTCGGAATCGGGCGTTCGGGCGAATTCGATCGTACAATGATTCGTTTCTTAAGTTATCCGTCGCTGGTCGAGAATTGACAGCGGGCCACGCGCCTTATCGATACGCGCTTGAGTTTTGCAGAGAATAAATTAACGTTTGAAAGAGGAATACACATCTTCGGAAGACGACCGATGTCTTTCGAAAGTGATACCGTTTCTTGCGCGATGTCGCTCGAACGACAGTCTGACAGTTTGTTTTTTCAACTTTCTGCATTGACGCATATTTAGCGCGATGAGTTAAACAAAGTACACTGGGAGGTCTCACTCTAACTCTGTCTGAGCCGGTGAGTAGAGATTCGATCGAGTCTCGGTTCTTCCGGAGGCCGAAATTTCGCGAGAGTAATTTCGACGTTCCGGAAACGGCGGTAATTTTTTTCAAGGGGAGAGAGAAATTCTCCAAAGAGAGGGAGGTTAATCAATTTTGCACCGTTGACGAGTGATTCACGGGGGTCACGTTCGCGAGACTATAGGTGGAATTGACAGCTCACGTGCGCCGCCCGACGGATCAAATTTAATTTGTACTTTTTTAAAAGACTAACGCGGAAAACCAATCAGCCGGTCGGCGGAGGCTCGGAGCATTTTGTAGTGTCGCATGCATTTAATCCCCTCGGGTGCACGTGCGCAGTGCGTGCCGCGAGAGAATGCTGTTGCTCTCTCGCTTCGACCTCACGCGTACCGCACACACGCTCTTTGTTACATAATGTTAAGTGTATAATCACTAACGGGGGCAAATAAAGCGGACAGCGAGTGCCGGCTTTTGATCTCAATTTGGAACTCGTCGAATAATCCAAAACACGATGTCACGGTTTTCTTCGGTGGTCCTTCTTCGCGCTGTGCTTTCCTTATCCGCGATATTCTGCAATTTTTCTTTCGCCTTTTCTCCATGGAACTTTGGTAGATTATGCGGAGATAGGGGACCACCTCCTGATTTCGATGATATGATTATCAAGGTCATTATCTTAGGTTGTTGCGAAGCTTTAGTGCGCGCTCATTATTTATAACGAAGTTATTGACAAAAGAAATATAATGAATAGCATGTGAGTTTGTAATACCGTGTGTAAATACTATAGCTTGTTACGGTGCTTGCTGAGCAAAGGTTCATTTCTATTTATCTTCTTTCCATGTTTTTCTGTTTACCTTTCTTCCATGTTGTTGATATTTCTTGCGATTTTAAACCGATACTCTGGAAAAGATGAATCAGTACAGCGGGAGCTTCGCCCCTGCCCCCTCATATATATTCTGCTCGTACATGTACACTGTGTCGAAAAGTTACATTTAGTTTGGAAAAGTTCTATTATTAATAATTTTGTAATAAACAATGAGCACACGGACTGAAACCTTCGCAACATTACTCGGGGTAATGACCTTGATAACATACCTCGATATCATACCTCGAAATGGGGAAGTGGTCTCTGTCTCTGTATAATTGCCCGATATAATTTTTTGTTATTTATCAATCAATGCATCAATCGAGACGTCTCGAGTAAGACTCGACTCGACTGACAATTCCGGTGCAATTCCGCGCCTCTTGTCATTTTGAGCGTGCACAGCGGGACTATTGACATTTCCTTCGTACCTCTCGAAGAGAGCCGGAAACAAATCACCAATATGCCGAGAGCAAAGCAAACGTGCGCGATATTGAGTTTGGTGGTTATCAATCGCAACGCGATAGCCACGACATTACATACCGCGTATAGGTGGATTCAATAAAACCTAATTCGAACGAACGGCATTCGAAACGCGGCGGCGCGCCGGCGCTCGGCAAAGTTTCATTTCTGACTCCGATAAAATTCGATTACGCGTCGTCAAGGCGACGACGCGAGAAGCTTGCTTGAAATTTCATACGTGTACCCGAAGGGGCGATTAATGTCCTTCAAAAGTACGATCAGCGACATGTCTTCACCGTTTTCCCGGATTCATTGAGTTCCCGGGCGAAGATTCCGAAGAACAGCTGAGACCATCTCCGGCGGGAGGGAGGGGGGGACTTTTAACTGACCGCTCTAAGAAACTAAAAGCATTAAGGGATAAATTTTATATCGGAGACGCGAAATACGACGCTCTCTTTATTGACTGCGTTTATCGCCGCTTTTCTTCCAGTCTCTCCCGTCGGTGCGCCGTCGTAAAAAGCTTTCACAATCGCTCGCTAATTTTTGCCAAGCGTCCGCGCGATCGTGGCGAATAATTCAAAGACGTCGAACGGCTTTTTCCGCCCGTAACGGATTACGCAACAAAACATAGTAAATGGCGGTAAAGCGCCGGACGTTACGCGATAGCAGTTTTTTTTCGGCTCTTCGCGCGCATCTTTGTGTGTATTTCGCTCTCGCGAGGGATCCGATAAGCGTAGTGTGTAC